CATTTGCAAAGTGGAGGTGATTGCGACAGGGCAGAGGCAGTTGGAAAGATGAAATGCATAAAGGGGTCAGGACTGTGCCTGGACAGTGGAAAGTGCTGGGCGGGCGCAGTACGTTTAGACACGATAAGCTTCCTTTTCCGTGAGGGGCAGAGCCTGGGGAAGCCAGCTGGTGAACGCAGCCTGCATCTGCCTGCTGCCTCCACGTGCTGGCTTTCTGCGCCCCCTCCTCGGAGTGTCTGCACACAGAGCTCCCCAGGAAATCAGAGGCAGAATTCAGAACCGGAAACCAAGTCTCCAGGCAGCTGGATAGCTAACCCCTGGCTTCGCCCCTGGCTCCCCTGTGACTCCCTCTGGGGACTGGATCCTGTTAGCATTCCTGGTGCAGTCCCAGCACACCCACCCACTGGTGGGTTGGGAGATGCACGTGTCACCAGGAAGTGGGTAGTGTTTGTAGGGTTCCTCTAGGATGGTACAGGCATCTGTGTGCGCTGGGGCCACCCCGGCCCTGGGCCTTGACTGTGGGCCAGTCCCCACGTGCCCTCTTCCTGCCCCTTGATAATAGGAGGCCGACTTTTCCATGTGGTGTTTGTCTCTCCCTGCGAACGTGGAGGCCTAAGCACCGCCAAGCTTATCGGTACAATGGATTTCCTGCTAGTGTTGGATCGGCCCTGTTCCCCGTTGGGTAATAAATTTATGTCGCCCGAGCGCACATATCTGCTGACGTCTGTGATGCTGGTGGCCTTGGCAGACCCCAGCTACCCCAGCCTGGGTGGGAATCTGCAGACATAAACCCTGGCTGACGTGTACTGAGCGTCCCGGTTAGGCCTGGAGAGCCAGAACTGGCTGGGTGGTGAGGATGTGGGAAGGCCATTCATCCATCAACTGTTTATTGAGGCTCCTGTGTGCCCACCCCTGTGCTGGGCTCTGAGCAGACAGAGGACACTCACGCTGACCTGGGAATCAGATGCAGATAATTATACCACGGGCAGCTTCCTTCTGGGGTAGCACTAAGGACAGAGCCGGTGCGAGGAACGCACAGCCTAATTTGGGGCTGCGGGGTTGAGTTTTAATGAAATGTTTTCTTTCCTGGCAGTCGTCCTCAGCAGGGATAGCCCGGCTGGGCCCGGGAAAGGGGGTCAGCTCCTTGGGGGTTGAAAGTATCAGAACCTTTGCATCCATGGTGTTTGGACCAGCCCAACATCCAGAGCACCCACTGTGGGCACCCCTGGGATGCCCTCTTCTTTCCTGCTCCTCTGCCCAGGTGTGTACCAGTGGGGGCATTTGGCCTCTCGTCAGAATTCTGAGTTCCCATATTAATCATAACAAGCGTGTTCCAAGAGGAACTGGTCTGGCCCCTGCAGCCAGCCCTCTCTCCTGCTTTGGTACATCTGCACCAAATTTCCCCCCTGCAGATAAGTAGGCCCATTGGTATTTATTTTGACTTTAGATTGTGGTATGAGTGGTGTCGCTGCAATTTCAGGCCTGAAGTATATGCCGGGGCCCAGGGTGGTGGGAAAACTGAGCTTTCACGGATGGGATCCAGGTCTAGCGGGGGAGGGCGGGGCCAGAAGCAGTCCACCAGCTACTATGTGCACGAAAAATGCACAGCAGCCCCCCAACTGGTGGGAGGGGGTGTCCTGCCTTGTCCTGGGAGCAGTACTGGGTCAGGCATCCTGGATAGAAGGGTGCAGGAGGGCTCTACTCCTTCTCCTCCTGCCCTTCCTCACCCCACATCCTCCCGCCCCCTCTCCATCTCTGGCCCTGGAGTGACAGAACTCGGCAAACAGGAAAAGATGCACTAACTGCAAAGAAATGCGGTGAATTCAAACCTAAACCCAAAGCCAACCTCACAAGCGCTGGGGTTTGGAGTCTGGCTTTCGGAAGCCTGTCATGGTCTGGCTATGTCCGAGCTGAGCCCGAGGCACTGGGGGCATGAGATAAGATGCGGAGCTGGCCTCGGAGGAGTTGGCTCTCGCCAGCCAGCTCCCACCAGAAAGGAAGCCCAGGGAGCTGCAGGCGCGCTGGAGGGAGTCCTATCTCAGCAGTGACTTCATTTCCCCCGGTGGGGCTTCCACAGACCCTAAGCCCCACGGATCGGTCGTGGTGTGGGAGCTTTGATAGGCCTGTTTGTGCTTTCCCTCTGGGACGCTGCCGCCCCGATGAGTGATAACTGGATGATGGAGTATTTGCCAGGGGAAGGGGAATGCGTTTTTGTAAGATAAGGTTGGATTCCCGGCAGAAGGGAAGTTTCCGAATGCCTCTGCAGTGTCCAGCTGCGAGGAATGGGTGCAGCTCTCCTTCCCTGTCGCCCTGCTGTGGTATCCTGAGGTATTTACCCGCCCCCACCCCAGATGAACTCTTACTTCGGGAAGTTGTCCCAGGGCTGCCTGGGAGTAGGGCAGGGTGCTGTGTAGGGGTGTCTCTGGTCCTCTCTGTCAGAATACTGCCCTTTTCTGCTGTTTTTGTTTTGTTTTGTTTTGTTTTAACTTATCCTGATAAGATTTTGTTTGAATAAAGGGCTTGTATCCCACATAACTAGCTAGGTCCTTGTGTCTACCCTTCTCTCCAAAATGGCTGCAGCTTCCTTGGGGATTCTTGTTCAACGTCACAGTGTCCATTAAGACCTAGCATGGGACTTGCACAGAATCCTCTTTGTCACCTCTGCCCACCGTGACCAGGCCTACAGGACCAAAGCCATACCCCTACTCCTGTCATTTAAGACCTTCAGCATCTGGCTCCAGACAAACTCTTCTCCTTCTCCTCCCTTCCCCAAAGTATCCTTCTCTCCATCCATCTAGAACAGGGGTGGGCAAACTTTTTGACTCGAGGGCCACAATGGGTTCTTAAACTGGACCGGAGGGCCGGAACAAAAGCATGGATGGAGTGTTTGTGTGAACTAATATAAATTCAAAGTAAACATCATTACATAAAAGGGTACGGTCTTTTTTTTTTTTTTTAGTTTTATTCATTTCAAACGGGCCGGATCCGGCCCGCGGGCCGTAGTTTGCCCACGGCTGATCTAGAACTTCTCTTTCTTTCCCTTTGAATGTTCTTTCTTCTTTTTATTCCTGGCAAACCAGAATCAGAACAGCATGGTGGGCTCTGGAGTGAGACAACCTGGGTTTGAATCCTGGCTCTGCCCCTTTCAATCTGTGATACCGTGGGCCAAAGACTTAGCTGCTTTGTGCCTCAGTTCTTCCAGCTGTGAAATGGGGATGACAATAGTTCCTCTTAGATGTATTGTGAGGATTGAGAGCAAAACCACATAAAGCACTGAAACCAGCACCTGCACATAGCAAGTGCTCGACAAACATAGGCTGTGGTGGTGGAGTGATGATGATGATGATGGTGAAGGAAGAGGAGGAGATGATAGTGGGGTGATGTGATTTTAAAGACCTTCCCTGTGAAGTCTTTTCCAGCTTACCAAGTAGGATTAGCTCTTCCCCTTCTGGGCTCCAGATAGAACTAGTTATTGATTTCTACTAGTGTGTGCCACACTTGACACCATATGCTTTTTTTCTCATATAATTATTTTGCTAAGATATAATTCACTTGCCATAACATATAATTCAAAGCATACAGGCCAATGGTTTTAGTATATTCACAAGTATGTTCGACCATCACTATGATCTATTCCCCATAAAAAGAAATCCTATACCTTTCAGCAGCCACTTCCTAATCTCCCCCCACCCCCCCACCCCCACCCCCCCACCCCCAATTACCTTGCAACAACTAGTCTATTTTCTGTCTCTATTGATTTGCCTGTTCTGGACATTTCATATAAATGGACTCCTGCAGTATGTGTCCTTTTGTGTCTGTTTCTCCCCCCACTTAATATCATGTTTTCAAGGCTCATTCATATATCAGCACTTCATTCCTTTTCATAGCTGAGTAATACTCTATGGTGAGGCTATCCCACATTTTGTTATGCATCAGCAAATGGACACTTGGGTTGTTTGGGCTGTTATGACTAATGCTGCTATGAACATTCGTGTACAAGTCTTTGTGTGGGCATATGTTTTGATTTCTCTTTAGTACAAACCTAGAAGCAGAGTGGTCGGCTCATGTGGTAACTCTGTGTCTAACTCTGTGAGCAAAGGCCTAACTGTTCCAAAGCACCTGCACCTTTGTACGTTCCTGCCAACAGTGTGAGGGCTCCCGTCCCCCCAGCTCCTTGCCAACACTTGTTGTTGTCTGTCTTCTTGGTTACAGCCATCCCAGCGGGTCTAAAGGGACATCTCAGAGTGGCTTTGACTTGCATTTCCTTGATGGCTAATGATGTGGAGCATCTTTTCCTGTGCTTACCGGCCATTCATATATCTTCTTAAAGAAATGTCTATTCAGATTGTCTTCCCGTTGGTTAACTGGGTTATTGGTCTTTTTATTGTTGAGCTGTAAAATTCTTTATGATAATAATTCCTTATCAGATATATGATTTGCAGATACTTTTTCCCACCTGTGGGTCATCTTTTCACTTTCTTCATAGTAGCCTTTAAAGCACAGAAGTTTTTAATTTTGATGAAGTTTAATTTATCTCTTTCTTCCATTGTTGTTTATGCTCCTGGTATCACATCTAAGAAACCATTGCCTAAGCAAGGTCACAAAGATGTGCCGTCAGCTTTTAAAAAGCAATCTTAGTTTTAACAACCCTACAAGGAGAGGGTAGCAGACCCATGTCACCAAAGAAGAAACTAAGAGGTCAAATGCCAGAGCTGGGATGAAAGCCCAGTTCATTCTGACTCTGAACCTCACGTATATCTAACCATGCCTCCCCCCAGGTCCCTTTACCTCTGCGTCCCTCACTGGGCTTGGCACAGTGCCTGGTGCACAGCAGGCCCACGGGTGGTGAACATTGGATGGATGAATGGCAGGTCCTAACAGGCGCTTGTTTTGTCTGCACTTGCTGGTCGATTTGGGTGGATGGGGTTTGCTGCTGACCATCGGTTTGTGTCTATGATGCTAGAGTCACTGAGTGTCTCTCTCCGCTCTCACCTCTGCAGTGTCTCATCGTTGGGGGAGGACCATGTGGTTTGCGCACGGCCATTGAACTTGCCTACCTGGGGGCCAAAGTGGTCGTGGTGGAGAAGAGGGACACCTTCTCCCGGAACAACGTACTGCACCTCTGGCCTTTCACCATCCATGACCTGCGGGGCCTGGGAGCCAAGAAGTTCTATGGGAAGTTCTGTGCTGGCTCCATCGACCACATCAGTGAGTGGCGCCAGTGGTGGCACCCCAGGAGGAGAGGGGGCTGACCTGGGGACACATTGAGGAGTCCCCAGAATGTTCCATCGTGCAAGTCCCTGGGAGCTCCACACATCCAACAGGCAGATATTTAGTGAAGGACCTGCTCTGTGCCGTGGGCCAGGCCCTATGCTTGGCCCCCTAGGCTCTGAGCACCATGAGGTCAAGGACTATGGCATGTCTTGTTCACCAGAGTATCTCCAGAGCATAAAAGAGTGCTTGCACATAGTAGGTGCTCAGTAAACGTCTGCTGAGTGAATGAATGGAATATGGAAAACCGAGGCAGAGGTACTTAGCATACTCTGCACCAAGAGAGCTCACTGAGGTTTTGTCAGTAATGAAATGTGCTTTAATAGAGGAGTCAGACTTGCTAGAGGAGTTCGGAAGAGGGAGCCACACAAAGCCATTAAATAGGGCAGGTTGTCGAGGGCCTTTTGGGCAAGAAGCATTGCCGGTTCTGGGGAACCCTGGCAGCTTCTAGAAGAGAGGAATGTCACCACTCCTCATACCAAGTTTTATTGCACTTTAACGAGAGGACATCATGATGATGTTCATTCAGGAAAGGAGGGGGAAGAGAGGGCATGGGTTTCGGGGCCTGGGCCATCCCTGAATGCTTAGGTAGGGCGAGGTGGGAGCTGAGGCCCTTCTGCCCAGATGTTACTCATGCCTGGGTCTCGTGGGGCAAGATCTGTGCAGACGCACGTTGGGAGAGCAGCCTCCCTCCTCCCATAAAGGAAGGAGGTCTTTGGCCATTTTATATCTAGTCACTCATAAACATTAGGGAGGTTCATACTATGGGGAGAGTTCAAGGTTTGAACAGATTTGGCTCCAAAATCTGCCTTGCCCAGTTTTCCTGTGTGACTTGGGTCAAATTCCTTACCTTCTTCAAGCCCCAGTTTTGTCTCCCATAAATGTGATTAATGCCTGCCTACCAGGATTGCTGAGGATTAAATAAGGTCAAGTTTGTAATGTGCTTATCATTGTACCTGGTGCATAGTAGGTATTCAGGAAATGCTTAACATCTAAGGATGTACAGGGAGCAAGAAGCAGCCAGGGTCCCCAAGTTTCAAAATTCAGAATTCAAAACATGGGTGGGAGGAGAATCCTGAAATCTATGTTTTTATGAGGACAAGAACTGATGGGAAATGGCTATGGGATTCAAGCGGGAATGCCTGGAGAGAATTATCAGCTACATGGGGTGTAATTTAGACAGATGCAGGAGAACTTACCAGACGCGGTCCCGGAGTTTATTCCCGCTCTGAGATGAGAAAGTTCCATGAGTCCATTGGAAAGTAATTTGGATTTGCCCAGAAAGTTGCAGTGTCAGCTTTCAGGGTATTCCCTACCACCCATTGAAAGAATGTATGTTGGTTTCCACTTTACAACAACAGCATTGAGCACCGCTTTCTCATCAGACCTTCCCGAGAGGCAGAGCTGGCCACCGGCAGGCCTGGGAGGGCCCTGGGCTGTCGGGCTGCCTTCTGGGCCAGCGGCCCCCCTCTGCTCCCAGTTAACTCCTAGGCCCTGGGAATATCCCAGTGTGCAGGAGCACTGGCAGGACCGTGGAACTGAGACTCAGCGTGATCATTGTCAAGGGCAGCCCCAGTGCCTGTGAGAAGAGAGGCAGGTATAATTTATTGAGCACCTACTGTGTGCTGGAAACATATAGCCTACCATAAGGAGAGGCCAGGCCTGTTTCCAGGCCCAGCTGATCGGCTTCCTTGCAGACGGACCGTGGTCTCCAGCCCCAGCTGTGTTCTGGACCTCAGCACTGCGCAGCTGTTCTCAGCTTGTCCTGTGTCAGCATCTTCCTCCAGTTCCCACAGTGGCTGTTCCAAACCTCCACCGCAGCCTCCCTCCCATGCTCTGGGGAAGAGAAGCCACCAGCAGGCACTTCCCATTCCAGCTCCCTCTCCTTCCTCCTCTACCCGTGTACCTACTCCTTCTTTTCAACCCAATGTCAGAGGCAGAGCTGACCGCCTCCTCTCCACACTGGTCCCTCTTGATTCCTTCTCTCCTTTTCACCTGCCCCATCACTTAGTCTTCCCGCTTCTCACCTCACACTGCCCCTCCTCGGTCCTTTGTTACTGCCCATTACTTTTCTTTACTTCCAAGTATTTATTCTAGAAAGAGATGTAGACTTTGTCTATACTTTCCATTCATGCCTCCTTGCATTCTAGTCTGATTTCTTCCCAACCACTGAGCTCATGAGATTTTCACCAAGGTCTCCAGAAGCTTCCTATCTCCCAAGTGCCCTAGCCTCCCATAGTCTCAATATTCCTTCATCTCTCTGTGGGATGTGGTATTCTCGGTCCCTCCCCTTCTCTAGGCTTTCAGGACTGCAGCTCTGCCCCCAACCGCCATGCCCTGCCCCATTCTGTGTACCTGTGTTTCCCCCATTAGAGGGGGTGTGTCCTATCTCCTGGACCTAGCATGGCACCTGGCTCCTTGTAGATGTTCAGTAAATGCTAAATGAGCAAAGCCCACGAAATAGAGAGGGACCCACAGAGAGTTTAAAACTGCACTCTACAGAAATATATTGGAAGCAACCATGTCTGTGCTGAATAGTAGGGGACAAAGTAGAGAAACAGGGTGCCACATATTGGGGGTTTCAGGTAAGAAGTCGAGAACATAAGTCCAGCTTTGTTTGTTTGTTTGTTTGTTTGTTTGTTTAATTCTCTCCCCAGGATATTTTTCCCATTGATTTTTCAGAGAGAGTGGAAGAGAGGAGGGGGAGAGAGAGAGAGCGAGAGAGAAATATCAATGGTGAGAGAGACACATTGATTGGTTGCCTCTTGCACACACCCTGACTGGAGCTAGGGATTAAACCTGCAACCCATGAACATGCCCTTGACCAGGAATCGAACTTGTGACCCTTTGGTGCACAGGCCGATAGTCTAATCACTGAGCACACTGGCCAGGGTATGAGCCCAGCTTTGTGGAGAGAATTCCCCACCTCACTCCTTACCCTGGGTGGCTAGGGGCTTAGGTTTAGGTTCCCAAAGAATAAGCCAGTTGATGGCTGATTTTACTTGTGGCCTTTTATCCTCTCTTTCTCTCTCTCTCTCTCTCTCTCTCTCTCTCTCTCTCTCTCTCTCTCTCTCTCTCTCTTTCTCTCTCTCTCTCTTTCTCTCTCCACTGTTTTTTTCATCTTTATCTTACTAAACCCAGAGCCCAGCTGAGGACAGAGGCAGGAAAGAGAGCCTCCATCATTACAGCATGATCTGACGGCTAGAGCACAGTCTTAGAATCCGACAGAGCTGGGTCCACATTCTAGTTTGACTTCCATGTGACCCTGAGTGAGCAAGTCACTTAGCCTCGTTAACCCTCAATTTCTCATTGATAAGATGAGAATAATTATCCCGAAGGGGCACTGTAAGGGTTAAATGAGAAGACATAGAGTACTTGACACATAATTAGTGCCCAGTAATGATCATTATTGATACATTGCTATACTCAGAGATCACTGAGCAGTGATTATATAATGTTCTATATACAAGAGGCATCCAGGCATTGCTTCTGACAGCTGGTCTCTCTTTCCCTTCCTTTCTAACAGGTATTCGTCAGTTACAGCTCATCCTATTCAAGGTGGCCCTGATCTTGGGAGTTGAAATCCATGTGAATGTGGAGTTTGTGAAGGTTCTGGAGCCTCCCGAAGATCAAGAAAACCACAGTACAGTATAACTTTCCTCTTCTGCCTGGAAATGAGACATTGCAAATGGAAATTACATTTGCAGCTCTCAATAATTTGACAGTTATTCTTATTCGGAGCTGTTTGACATAATTTCATCAGTGGCTATTTTACCTTTTTTGACCATTGCTATCACTTTAGGTTTGCTCTTCAGTTCGCAGGGGATATAGTATTAAGCCACAAAACCTGTAATTTGATTATCCTGCCACTACGAGGTGCCACTTTGACAAAGGAAGTCCAATCAGGAGTAGGCTAGAAGATAGATTTGGTTGTCTGATCAAGTTCATTCACATGCTCTTCAAGCTGTTTATGTACACACAGATATGAGGATACACTTGATGTCCCTGCATGGTAGTATTAAAGTCCAGTAAAGAATGTGAAGTTTCTAGAGCAAGTATGAAATACATGTTCGAAATATTATTTGGTATGTAATATTTTTAAGCTTTTTAAAAATATATATATATTTTATTGACTTTTTACAGAGAGGAAGGGAGAGGGATAGACAGTTAGAAACATCGATCAGCTGCCTCCTGCACACCCCCAACTGGGGATGTGCCCGCAACCAAGACACATGCCCTTGACCAGAATCGAACCTGGGACCCTTTAGTCCATAGACCGACGGTCTATCCACTGAGCCAAACTGGTTAGGGCGTATTATTTTTAAGCTTTATTGAAGTATAATTTACAAATCATAAAATTCACTCATTGTAGTTATGTCTTATTTAGCAAACCTCTCCTTTTTTAGGATGTGTATGTAAATTCTGATGCTGCATGTACACTATGATCAGAGGGTTTGTTCATGACGCCTTTGCATCGTCCTTATTATCAAAATCTTCTCCTGCCTGGGCAGGGCTTTCAGTTCTGAGCCAGATCGTGTCAGAAACCTCACAGTTTCACACACGGCTACAACTCTGACTTCTCCTGTCTTAGCCGGAATATTGAGAACTTAGGGGAGGTGTTATTTGGCTTTTGTCGCTGGGCATCCATTAAACTCTGAGACCCATGTGCTGTTCATCTTCCCCAGACCTCCCATGGATATTAAATTCTGATTATGGGTAGCCATCAAGGTTTCACTTGAATATGGTTTCATAAAAGACTGTGTGCTGCACAATGGAACATTTTGAGCATAATGAAGTAGGAAAGTCAAACTGGTTTCATTACACCCTGCATATCCTTTCGGGTCTCTTTCGCAATGGAAGGGCCCTGAGGAACCTGGGGACTATGAAGAGAACATGGGAGAATCTGTTGAAAGATATAAGATCCAAGTGAGACTGGTTTGAGAATCATTGAGGATAGACTCCCAGCCTTTACCTATAGAAACCAGTAAAACCAGGCATGGAGTTGGCGCTGCTGGTTAACTTCATCTTGGACTGAACTGACACTAAAGCCAGAAGAACTCCAGATTCCAGTGTGAATCTGGACAGCGCTGGGTCTTTCCTGTGGAGGCTCTGTCTGGGGCGCCTACACCAGGTGGCATTGTCCCTTTCTCATGGCCAACACAGAGGGGGTATAATCACTCTCTCTTCCCACCGCTCTCTGTGCCAACTCATCTCCTTTTTCTGTCCTGGTAGAAATTGGCTGGCGGGCAGAATTTCTCCCTGCTGACCACTCCTTGTCGGAGTTCGAGTTCGATGTCATCATCGGTGCCGATGGCCGCAGGAACACACTGGAAGGTGAAGACTCTTCTTTTTGGCACCAAGGATGGGGAGATAAGTGGGAGGGGGTGTATCCAGAAGAGGGTGGAGAAGAGGGGGTGAGGTGACAGGTGCCAAAGCTGGAGGGGGTCTTGATAGAAGGGCAGACCACCCTGTCGTGCCTGAGGTGAGTGTCTAGATAGCAGCCATTTAATTCTCTCTGAACCTTGGTTTTTCCAACTGTAAAATGTGGAAAATCAAACCCCGTTAGAGCATCGTTATAAGGGCTGGGGAAGGACTCCTATGTACAAATGCTTTGTGAAGGTTAAATGCCATGAAAATTAAAAGAAAAAAATCAACCCCCCTTTATTGAGCACCTGCCAACGTTCAAGCCGTGGTGCTAAGCACTTTCCTACTTACTTCATCTCAGAAAAGCATTTGTATATCATTAATGGCATCAGTGTGCTGTGGAGGATAATGCTCTAGAGGAGGAGCCCTGCTATTCTCATGACTTTTAAGCACATTCAGTGCTGGGCAGGAAGATGAGTTTTGCCCAAACTGTCAGGGTGCAAAACTGCTTCTCTGAGTTGTAAACTTGGGAGCACATGTTTTCTTGGGTTAGGACCTGGTTAGGTTGAGAGAGGAGCCGCATTGCCAGGGAATGCCTTCAGGCACCTCCACCCCGGCCCCAAGACTAATTGGTGCGCAGGTTGTACTCACTGGCACTAACTGTACTAGTTTGAGACCAGGGGTTGTGGGTGAATCTTCCCATGTGGCATCTCTTTGACGAGCACAGGTCTGCTTTTCGAGCTTGCCTGGCTCGAGGGCTGCAGACAGAGACGTCTGGCTGCGAAGGCACCTTCTCTGAGGATGGAACACACTCCCCGACATAGGGCTCATCTGAGAGAATTCAGGATGTGAGGTTGGCCTGCCGAGGCCCTTCCCACCTGCTGTGGGAACAGTGCGGTTCCTCTCTCTCCACCTCATACCTCTTCCCCTGCAATCAATAACCAATATCTGACAAAGAATTTTTAAGCTGCCAACCTGGATATTGTGCTGTTAGAGTTTATGATAGTGTGAGGAAACTCAGTTTGAATATTTGAAAATTCGGGATCCATGCTCAGCTTGTGTGTAGTTTGGCATTTCGTGAACATGACGGGTGGGCTGGGGAGGACGAGCCATTTGAGCAACTTGGGACCAAGAAGGTAGGCCAGTGCAGAGTCTCTGAATCAGCACTATTAACATTTTGGGCAGATAATTCTTCATCATGGGGACATCCCTGGCCTCTACCCACTTGACACCAAGTGGTACCCCCAGTTGTGGCAACCAGAAATGTCTCAACACTTTGCCAAATGCCCTCTGGGGGGGGGGGGCAAAATCACTCCCCATTAAGAAATATTAGACTAGAGAAACATGGCCATTTCTGACCATTTTTGACAAAGTTCTAATGAAGAATGACTCAAAGGAGTGGGTATACAGTAGAAACCCAAGAGTTTTAGTCAAAGGGATTTTTGACAGAGAAGTTTGGGAATCAGCATGAGGCTTGATGATATGGTGAGGGGATGTGGGGGCGTTCCCACAGCTGGCTGGAGACAAAGGTCCTGTCCAGCAAGTCTGCTGGGACCGTGAGTTTCGCTGACCGATGGACGTCAGAGAGCAGCTTTCTCAGTCATCTTCTCCAGCTTTCACACCAAGTCCAGAAGAAAGACCCACTCCTTCCCTTTCCCTCCGCAGGCTTCAGGAGGAAAGAGTTCCGTGGGAAGTTGGCTATCGCAATCACCGCCAACTTCATAAACAGAAACAGCACCGCCGAGGCCAAGGTGGAGGAGATCAGTGGCGTGGCCTTCATCTTCAATCAGAAGTTCTTCCAGGACCTTAAGGAAGAAACAGGTGAGACCGTCACCTTTCTCCAAACCAGGCCACCGTCACTTCCCCGGGGAGCTGCTGCCTTCCCCAGCTCTGGGGACTGGGATACTCACTCCGATTGAGTGGAAGCAGGGATTTCTCCTTAATAACGGGCAGGATTCCTTCCAGGACAAGAGGGATTCTTGAGGGAAAGTTCTAGATGTTGTATGTGACTATAAATACCTACTTATTTACTCAGGAAACATTTACGGAATGCCCGTTACGTCCTGGGATTGAATATTGTGGGATATAAAGCCAAGGCTGACACGATCCCCACCCGACACAGCTCCTGTCCAGGGAGGGACCCCGCGTTACCCCTCCTAATGCAGCCTGGTCGGGCTGTGCGGAGATCAGCGTGAGATTCAGGGAGCGCTCTGAGTGGGGAGCCAGTCACCTGGGGGTGGTCCCTGCAGAAGCCCAGGTGCTTTTGTGCAGTGTGCCAGCTGCCCTTCCTCCCAGGGGTCCAGGGATGCTTCGGGAGCTTGACACTCAACCAGGTCCTTGAGGAACGTATTCGTTTATTTACTTGACAAATATGCATTGAATGCCTACGAGGTGCCAGACGGTGTTCAAGGGTGTGAGACAGAGAAGTGGGCCAAACCAAACCCACTCCTGGAGCATCACGGGAGACTCAGTAAACAAATGACACAGCAGGTGGTCTGTAAGGAAGGGGGAAGTGAGGCATAAAATGCCTGCCCCCAATTAAGACATTTCCAGATTTTTTTTTCCTTATTAACCTAATTTAAAGATCTGTCTGTCCTTGAAAAGGGAGTGTGACGACAATGGTAAATCTTTACACTAAAAATACTAGTAAATCATCCACACCCAGCACCCCTGGCCCGGGATGCTCATTTTCAATGCTTCTTCTCAGTGACTTTCCACCTGCATCCCTACCTTTTCCATGGACCTAGCTCCCCTGATAGTGCCAATACTCTTTGTTATTCTGCTTTTCTCATTCAGCCTCACACGATAAAAACTGTCCCTGTGGCCGCCTAGTCGTCCTGATGGCAGCTTTGGCAGAATAGCTCATTCAGTGGGTGTATTGTCACTGCTCAATTGTTTACTCCATGGGGTGGCAAGCTGGCCGGCCACATGTTTCTGTCTTGCCTTTGAGCAAAGCATCATTTAAATATCTTTCAATGGCTGAAGAAAAATCAAAGGGAAACTATTTTGAGAAAACTTGAAAGTTATATGAAATTCAGGTTTCAGTGTCTAAAAATAAAGGTCTATGGGACCCAGCCCCCCACCTCATATGGTTACCTCGTTGCCGGTGCTGCTCCACCAGGAGGGGCTGGGCACAGAAGGCCCAAAGTGTTTACTCTCTGGCTCTTCACAGAAAAAGCCTGCTGACTTCTGAGTTAGACCTTTCAGTGACTCACTGTCACAGCTAAAACTGCTTCTGCGGGATTGTTTTGTTAAGCTAGTTTTCTAGGAACAGGGTTTGTTACTGAGCCAGACTTGGCCTCCCCTGGCCCCCGTGATGTGTGCCCACTGCATGACCCTCTGAAGTTCAGCACGGTTGCATTATTTTATTTAAAAAAAAGAAAAGGATTTCCTTCCCGCAGATTATGTCCCTTTGAATGATTTAAGAATTCTCCAACCCTCCCTTCCCCTCAAAACCCAGGAAAATAAATACTTAAATAAACCACCAACTATGAATTCTGACAGGACATGGGGTGTGTTTTTCCTCAGGTCTGAACGAGCTTCCTTTAAACTCTGCTGTGGTCGTCACCTTTGGCCATTGTTTCACATCTCTGCCCCTCGCACACTGATAGCGCTGAGCTTCCTCTGATTCTCCGGGGGCCCTCTGCCTTCACGGCTGCTTCCTATTTAGCAGTAATAACGGGGTTCCTATGGTTACCCAGCACGCCTCTGTGTCAACTGCGGATAATTGCCATGCGTCTGCTCCCCTCTGTCTTTTGGAGCAGGGGTGGGCAAACTTTTTGACTCGAGGGCCACAATGGGTTCTTAAACTGGACCGGAGGGCCGGAACAAAAGCATGGATGGAGTGTTTGTGTGAACTAATACATGTTAACACTGCTGCTGGTGAAGGAGCGGAGGGGAGAGCAAGAGAACCCTCCGCTCTTTCGGCTCCGCGGGCCGGTAGAACAGCCGAACGGGCAGGATCCGGCCTGCGGGCTGTAGTTTGCCCACGGCTGCTTTTGGAGGAAGCCACACCAGTGCTTCTCAAAGGTGAATCCAGCTGCCCCTAGGGCTTCTGATTCCGCAGGCCAGGTGGTGCCCTGGTCATTGGCGTTTCTAATACGTTCTTGGAGGCACCTGGCTGGGGTCCCCACTTTGAGAAGCACTGAGCTAAGCTATCCCCTCACTTGCCTTAAACGCAGAAACCTAGTCTATAAAGCAGCGGTTCTCAACCTGTGGGTCGCGACCCCTTTGATGGTCAAACGACCCTTTCACAGGGGTCGCCTAAGACCATCCTGCATATCAGATAGTTACATTACGATTCATAACAGTAGCAACATTACAGTTATGAAGTAGCAACGGAAATAATTTTATGGTTGGGTCACAACATGAGGAACTGTATTTAAAGGGCCAGAAGGTTGAGAACCGCTGCTATAAAGCGTCTATGCAATGGGTGGAAAGTGAAAAAAAGATACAACCTGGCCCTCTCACCTGAGTTGCTCCTGCCGGGCACCTGGTTTTCACACAGAGCCAGGAAATGGTGGAAGCCTCACTTAGCTGTGTTTGCTTGGGTAAATTCTGGCACTTGCCATGTCTTTAAAATGCATCTAGTGTGAACAGGCGGCAGGTAAATACGCAGGCAACACGGAGCTCCTGGTGCGCTGGGCACCGAGCACGCGGAACTGAGCGCACACTCGCTTCTCTTTTCAGGGATCGATCTGGAGAACATTGTTTACTACAAAGACTGCACCCACTATTTTGTCATGACCGCCAAGAAGCAGAGCCTGCTCGACAAAGGGGTCATCATCAACGTACGTCTCCCTGGGCTGTTACGCCCTGTCTTTCCCTTTGCGCCCGGGCTGGCAGCATCGGCCAGTGTAGGAGCAGCCATGGTCCTGCCAGGAACTGAACAAGGGGGAAGGGGGAGGGACTCCCACCACCACTTTCCTTCTCCTTGGTGTTGTGCAAACAGCCCACACCAATGCATGCAGAGGCGTTTCTGCAGAGAACTGGGGCTGGGGCGGGGGGAGGTTGGCAGGGGAGCTAAGTCCTTAACCCAGGTGTTAGTGTGGGTCTTTGCCCCTGAGAGATCACCTGAGCCTTCTTCTCCCCCACATCTCCTTCAGCCCTGCCCTCTTTTCTGGGAGAGCACAGTCATTGGAGGCAGATGGGGGCTTCTTGTCCAAGTGTGACACAGAGATACTTTCACTGTGAATTTCATGCTGTAGCCTCCTTGTCATGAAGGGGAAAAGCTCTTGTAGTAAAAAAGTTGAGCCCTGCCTGGTGTGGTTAAGTGGTTAGAGTATTGGCCTGCGTACTGGAGGGTCACCAGTTCGATTCCCGGTTAAGGGCACATACCTGACTGCAGGTTCAATCCCCGCCCTCATGCGGAAGGCAACCAGTCGATGTGTCTCTCTCACATTGATGTTTCTCTCTCTCCCTCCTCCCTTCCACTCTCTCTAAAATCAATGGGAAAAATATCCTCACTCTGCAGATAAGGATTAAAACATTGAGTTGAGTCTTGGCTCTGCCACCTGTTAACTCAGGGCAGCGACTAGTTTGCCTAACCTTTCTGGACCTCAGTCTTCTCGTGTGCAGAGGAGGAGTAATAGTTTCTGTCTGAAAGGGTGGTTTGGAAGAACACCTTTAAAGATGTATGCAGAGCACCAGATACCGTGCATAGCACGCAGTGGATTGCAGGTTCCCTCCACACCTTCTCCCCCTGCTTTGGCACCTGCTTTTTTGTCCTGCTGGCTTCCTGGCGTCTGCTTCCCGCCTCCATGTTTTCCTGCCTAAACAGAGGGCAGGGCTGGGAGGAAGGAGCATAGAGTGGCGGGCCTAGGGCTGGACGCGGCTTTGGTCAGGTGTTCAATCTCTCCTGAGCCCCTGATCCTGCCGCTCCTGCCACAGCCTGGAGAGAAGGATCTCAGTCCAGGATCAGCCTGCTCTCCGCGCCGGCCTGCAGCCGAGCAGCATGGTGACCATTCACTGCCGCTTGTCAGGGAAGAATGTCCCTATCTTCTCGCCAGCCTGAGCTGGCAGCGGCCAGATGGCACTCATAACCCAGCCCTCCCCTGGGGCCAATGCCCCAAGCAGGAGGGTGGGGACCTGGCAAAGGGACGACCCCCAGGAGGCACTGGGATGACAGTCCACCTGGCCCAGCTGCTGGGAGGAGCCAGGGGGCCTTGCAGGGCAGGAGGTCACATTGCTCAGTGGTTGGGTGAGAACCTAAGTTGCCGGAAAGGAGGTGTGAATGAGGGCGGGGTTGAATGAAGTCAGCTGAGCACCTCTGGTGGGAGCAATGGCTCAACATGGGGTGCCCCCTGCTGCCCTGGGGGGAGGCAAGGTGGTCTCCCCTTCTTTCCTCTGCTCCCAAAGTTGCCACCTCTGTCGGGATGCCTGTGTCAGATAGTGAAGGACTATTTGGGACAGGGGTGCAGGTGCAACGGGTACCTTTGGGAGGGAGGGGTGCCTGTGTCAGTCCATCCCTGGGGCGGTAGGCAAAGTGTGACTTGCGTTTCCTGGGTCCCTGGCTGAGCACTCCAGCCTCTGGACGCTGAGCTTCACTCAGGTCACTCCAGGGCACTGTTCCAGGCCACAGCATGTTGTTCATGGCGACTCGATTCCTTGGTGTCTGAGCCCCTCCACCTCCCATCTCAGGCTCTCCATCGTGGCTCACTCTGGTCCCACATATCGTAACTATGGAGGAGCTGGGAGCAGACTCAAGCCCGTGCTTGTGCTCACCCAGGCCTTTCCTCCCCCTCAGAGACTCTGGGAGCATCTGAGGGGCCTGTAGATATAAGACACGGACTCTTACCTAGAAATTGTCTGGACATGGGAGAACTGGGCACCCATTCGGTTCAGGAGCGCTGGCCCCAGTCTCCAGGGTTTAGCTAAGCTCTACAGTATTTGAATAAGCTGGGAGCCAAACCTTGTGTCCTGAGCCACTTGAATTAACATTCATCTCTTGCTCCTGAAGGAATGGCAAGTCCTCCCTGCGTCCCTCTCCCCATGTGGGTCAGCATCCTCCTACAGGCACACAGGAGGTGCCGAGAACAGGCTCACTGAATGACTGATTGACCTGCTTCCCCCTCTCTTCCTGCTCATCTCTGGGCTGCTTTCTACAGCTACTGAAGGGAGAGGAACGTTTCTCCTCGAGAAACCATGCCTCCTGGCTCCCAGCTGTGACCACCTGGCCCTCCCACACACAGGCGAGGATTCCGGGATGCAGTGGGCTTGGTCTCACCATGACGGGAGCGTGGTGGCCAGGTGTGCGAGGTGGATGCCCATCACAGCTGGTCTCCCGAGCCTGAGTCCACCCTCATTTGAAGCACTGGACAGGCCTTGCCCGGCCTTCTCTTTTGGCCTCCAGCCTCTTTCTAGCTCACCATTTAGGGTGACCATTCTTCCGTTTGTATTACCCACCTTTCCTCATTTTTGCTGCTTCCCTCTGCTGCCCCACCTGTCTGTCTAGCATTCAGCCTCGCTTCAGTTCCCTAGGCCTGTGGAAAATGGGGCCCAATTTCATCCCCCTGCTTTTATCGGAATTTAGAACTACTTCCCCGTGCCTGCCCACTTTACCCAGAGCCTCAGTCCCACTTTTTTCTTTCTTGTCCTTGTTTTTACCCCCTCCCTAAAGTTCTCCTTCTGCCATCCACTCACTCACCTGCAACCTCCTGCCCTGCAAGGCCCCTGGCTCCTCCCAGCAGCCCCGGCCAGGGGGCTGTCATCCCAGTGCCTCCTGGGGGCCCGTCCTTTGCCAGGTCCTCCTGCTTGAGGCATTGGCCCAGACATTGCACGTTGTCACACCCACCCGTTGCCCGGTCCACCCCCAGGTGCTTGCAGCATGCCTTGAAGAGGGGGCTTTTTGTTGAGACCTGTTTGTTGATGTTTCCCTGTCTCCTCTCCACTCCTGCAAGGGAAGGAAGTGACCATGTAAGTGTAGGAACAGGTCTGAGAAGGGAAATCAAATAGCTGGCGCTCCAGCCTGGACACCATGACCTAACAAAGCGCTCTTGGGCCAAGGCCAACTGGGGGGACGTGGTGTGAGTGTGAAAATAGTAGAATTCCGGGGACAAGGTATTTGAAGGCGTGGCTCTGGGGAGAATGAGCCCTGTAGGTCACTCTGTTTGCAGATGAGACTGCCTTCTTTGTAAATGCTCTTGCTGGTGCCTTGGGTGGGTCCAGGCTGCACTCCCTACAGGCTGCATTCTGTGTCATGGTTACTAAGGAAAGGAATTCCCACTCATTGAGCCCTTCCCACACACCCGCATCAGGCTGGGGGTTCCACACGGTCTCATTCAGTCCTCACACGGCTCTGTGAGCTGAGTTTGTTATCCCCATTTTATAAGTAAGAAAATGGAAAGTCAGAAGAGTTTACTAACTTACCCACATTTACTCCGTCGGTACACAGCAGAGGTGGGACTTAACCTGTTGCTTTCAATAACCCAAGGCCTGTGTTGGTCTTATACACCCTAGTCCCTGCCCGGCCTCCCCCAGGGATGTGCACCTTCTGTGTCACCTTTTGGGAAAGATGGTCTTTTAGTTTCTTTAGCCACAGGATGAGCAGATTAGACTTGGGAGACGGCTGTCCTGCAGGTCCCTCCAGAATGGGTATCCTGGTCCTCTAGGCTCAGATTCTCCACCCGCTGGCAGGAAGTGTAGCAGTTAATACTGTGAGAGCAGGGTCCTGAGCGGCCTTCAGCCTGTCCAGAAAAGGGGAAACGAATTTTGGAGAGCAACTCTGAGTGATGGCAAACACCCATTTCTTTTCTGGTCTCGTTTGACCACTAAACACAGCACATCTGGACCACATCAGCTTAGCTTAGTTCATTGTACACGCACTCTTTCTCACTCTTCTCTCTTTTAATTTCACTGAAGTAATCAGGAGAACCAGCCATATGAAAGATGCTGCTGTGTTTGCTGCAAGACCATTAGTATGTACAGTGTCCATTACGACACCGTGTTCTCTGTTGGAACCCCTACGTGAGACTGTTCTTTTGGAACTTAGTGCCAGGAAAAAATTACCTCCCCGAGGAATTTCAGTGCTGTTTTCTTTCTGATAAGGGGAGAACTGTGATATATCTCATTTCCCTTTTGCGTTGGATGCTTAATCACAAGTCTGTTAACCCTCACAGCTGGCCGATTTGGTTCCTCTTTCTTCCCTTGGCCCTGATTTTCTTTGTCTGCTTGGACTAGTCTCCCTGTGCAGACCCCATTCCAAGTCCTTCTGCGAGGGAGGGGGTGCCAGGCCTGGCCCTTGGAGGGGCAGGCGGCCGCACTGTGCTCCCGTTCTCCCCGCAGGACTACATCGACACGGAGATGCTGCTGTGTGCCGAGAACGTGAACCAGGACCACCTGCTCTCCTACGCCCGCGAGGCTGCGGACTTCGCCACCAACTACCAGCTGCCGTCCTTAGACTTCGCCATGAACCACTATGAGCAGCCCGATGTGGCTATGTTCGACTTCACCTGCATGTACGCCTCGGAGAACGCGGCCCTGGTGCGCGAGCGGCAGTCCCACCAGCTGCTCGTGGCCCTGGTGGGCGACAGCTTGCTTGAGGTACCGCCGGCATGGGGGGCCCCCTCACTCCTGCCTGAAGAGAGATCTCCCGTTTATGTTTTCCTGGCAGCCGCTGCTGTCACACAGCCGGGGAGGGCAGGCCCTCGGCCCGTCGGCAGGACTCCACCAAGCCCAGCGTGGCCTCAGAGCCAGCCCTTCCACTAAATCCAGGGGAGCCCACGTGTCTGTATCGGCCAGAGAGCTTTCTCCTCCCTCCTCCTGGGGTGCTTCTGGGCTGGCCTCTTTGCTGAAGTACAAACTCAGGGGGCCTGGTCTGGACTTCAGGGCGTCCTTCTCAGAGCATGTGGCCCCTCAGCCGGGCCAAGATCCCTTCCTCATGTGGGTGGGTCTTGGTGGTCTTGCAACATTGAGGTCATGTAGGATGCAAGAGAGGCATGTGGGCCCAAAGCCCCGGTTCTGTCCATGGCCTCCCTGCTCAGAAGGCTTCCCAGAAAATCCGCAAATGCTAGGATCCTCAGGTTACATAAATGCTTTCAGAAGGGCTCTGTTTCCATCTGTAAGGGAACCACTACCCAAAATGTGTTTACGTATTTAACCCAAGGTGAGCATCAAATTCCCAACTGTGCTGTGGGTGTGCGCGGGACAGTCTGGTGAGAAGGGAGTTTGATGACTCACCCCTTGCTCACCATGGTGTGTGGACTACAACCTAAGCTCCTTGGTTAAGCACTCAGCACCTCACCCCACACCCACTTCTCAGTGATTACTCTGCTCCATAATCACCGCTGAACCCACACCACACGGACCCTTCGCCCGTCAGGCTCTGCCATTTCCAGCCACCGAGACTTTGCTCGCTATCTCCCCCCATCCCCGCTGCTCCTGAATGGATTAAATCTGAATCCTATGCATCCTTTCAGTCAGCATAAAGGCATCTTCTATGAAACATTCCCCATTTCCCTCCCCCAGCGTGGGAGTTTGCCTCTGCCTTTTTTGAGCCCCAAAGCGGTTTTGAGCCTCGCCTGGGCCTGGCAATGGGAGAGTGCTGGATGGAACTGGAGAGCAGGCTGGGAGTTGTTAGAATCACCCTAAATTTCCATTTTTCTTTGCAGCCCTTTTGGCCCATGGGCACAGGCTGTGCCCGTGGCTTCCTGGCGGCCTTTGACACGGCCTGGATGGTGAAGAGCTGGGACCAGGGCGCTCCTCCGCTGGAGCTGCTGGCTGAGAGGTGAGTGTGTGGGCCGGGCGGGCTCACGGCTGGGGCAGGAAGGGAGCACAGCTGGCTGCTAGGTGGCACCTGGATGAAGCCTCGGTCCCCTCCCATCTGCCTTCCCATGTGTAGCTTGATCATCGGGGTCCCCAAGGAAATGTTCTCCATCACAATCTACCTCCTTCAGTGACTTTCTCTGGGGGCCAGGACCATAGGTCCTCGATGCCCAAGAGAAATTTTCATCCGGGGTAGCCCTGAAGTTGAGGTTCCAGCACTGCTCAGTTGCCCGGGACCCGGAAGAGGTTTGGGGGAAGTTGCCAGGGAAGTGCTGAGTGCCCGACCCTGTTGGGGGCTGGTTCTCTGATCCCCCAGGAGAGCCTGGGCTTCCTCCCAGACCCCTGCTGTTGGCCACGTGGCTGTGACAGCTGGTGGCCTGGGAGCAGTAAGGACTGGTGGGTGGGGACCGGCCTTGGCTGGTCTTGGGTGTGGCGGCCTGTGGTCATGGGGGATAGGCCCCAGAGGCCGTGTGGCTGAGTGGCGGTTATAGCAAAACCACAGGTCCCTGTGCTGCCAGCTCTGCCTGAGGGAGGTGCCAGCTTTCCCACCTCCCGGGCTCCTTCCTGCCTCCTCTGCACCCCTTGAACCTCCCCCACTTCGCAGGTCTCAAGAACCACGAGGGTCAGGCTTTGCAGGGAAGGGTTATACAAACACATCTAAGAAGCCCTTGAAAGCCGGAGAGGGTGGGGGTGGCGACCAAAGCCTCAGGCTTCAAGAGCAATCCCGACCCCATGCCCTGCCTCCCTCCAGAGAAAGTCTTTACCGGCTGTTACCTCAAACGACCCCAGAGAACATCAACAAGAACTTTGAGCAGTACACGCTGGACCCGGGCACGCGGTACCCAAACCTCAACTCCCACTGTGTGCGGCCCCATCAGGTGAGTCCTTCCCAGGGATCTCGTCTGAGCCCCCTGCACTGAGCGGTGGGAAGGAGGGGTCACCTGACATCTCGGCACATCCCCGGGACCAAGGCCACCAAGCCTCTGGGCCCTACGGTGACTCTCGGGGAGTCACAAGAGTAACACGGAGTCAGCACCTCTGTGGCCCACAGGAGAGAAGTAGAACATTTGTAAGTGGACGTCCACATTTGTACATATATTTACACCCGTTTGTCACCATGCACACCATGTTGCTAAGCATACCTCCCTCAGTCTACTTGGTGAATTTGAGTCCTTTTCAGCATCATCCTAGAGTCCTTTTATTCTCTCCCATTGACTCAGAGCCTCTCAGTCAATAGCTCTAGGAGTGGCGTGCATTTTAAAAGTTAGCCGTGACCTATATTTACACTGAGTGCTTCCACATCTGGGTGGATAATTGCGGCCCGTCGCTCTGTATCTCAGGTGGCCTGTGTCCCCTCGCTGAGGGCCCAGCGGGAGAGGAAAGGAGTGGCCGATAGATACTAAGTCGAGAAGGTCAGGTGCCCAGGCCCTGAGACTGGAATGTGGGGGAAGACTGGTGGGCAGCTGCGTGTTCTCTCTTGCTTGTAGGTGAAGCATTTGTACATCACTAAGGAGCTGCACCACTCCCCCCTCAAGAGGCTGGGCTCCATGAGGAGATCCGTGGGCCTCTCCCGGCGGGGTAAGCCGCCCTCCCGGGTCCCCTGGGAGGGGCTTTGCAGGGAGGAGGCTGCCCGGGGGCACAGAGGACCTGGGTGACCTTGGCCAGGCTCCTCTCCTCTGCTCTTCAGTTTCCCCTTCTGTGACACCGGGACAGTGACGCCCTACGTTATAACCACCATCAAGGCGTTCGGACGTGCTGCACGCGTGGCACAGTGAACTGTGGAATCACTTCCCTGGGACCTGCTCTTCTTCTCCCTTCATTTCCAGTCTGGGGTCTGCCTCCCCAGATGGACAACAGGGTCCATGTGCTCCATTCTTTTCTTGGTCGTCTAGGGCCTGGCACAGTGCTGGGGGGCAGGGATGATACAGGAATAACTCCCAGTACCCATCAGGCTTTGCTCAGGTCACCGTCCTGCTTAAAGGCCCCTCTGGCCTCCGGTCACCCGCCCAGACCTTGTGTCCTCCCAGCTTTTGGGCTCACTCAGCCTTACCAGCCAGCCCCTTCCCTCCAGCACCACGTGCCCCGCTGCTGCCGCCCGTCATCAGCCATGCTACACATGGGGACGGGTTTTCCTGGTCTTTCCACGGCGCAGTCCTTTCTGTCTTCCTGCAGCTCCTTCTTCTGTCTGATGAATTGCTAGACACTTTTTTTTTTAATATATTTTATTGATTTTTTACCGAGAGGAAGGGAGAGAGATAGAGAGTTAGAAACATCGATAAGAGAGAAACATCGATCAGCTGCCTCCTGCACATCTCCCACTGGGGATGTGCCCGCAACCCAGGTACATGCCCTTGACCGGAATCGAACCTGGGACCTCTCAGTCCACAGACCGACGCTCTATCCACTGAGCCAAACCGGTTTCGGCTGCTAGACACTTTTTAAGAAGCAGCTCACATGTACCCTCTTTGTGCCTCTCTGTGGCAAGTCCCGGCCCTGGCAGACGCCAGGCACCCTGCTTCTCCATCATTACAGCACCGCGTCATTGTCACCCGCATCCGTGTCTGTCTTCCCCACTGGACGAGATGCTGGCCGAGTCCGCATCGTCCCGCCTCTGTGTTCCAGAGGGTCTTGGGGACCTGCTGTAGGAGAGCATGCTTCCTGCCCCAGCAGCCTGCCCTCCCGCCATGCTCTCCACAGGGCCCCTTGCCTTGGTGCTATTCCCCATGTTCCCAGACATGGTGGCAGTCAGAGAGCGGTCCCCAGGGGTCCCTGAGATTTCCCCAGAGCACCTCACTGTCTGTCTCCCATTACTGCAGAGTCAGACATCCGGCCCAGCAAGCTCTTAACCTGGTGCCAGCAGCAGACCGAGGGCTACCAACACGTCAACGTCACCGACCTGACCACGTCCTGGCGGAGTGGCCTGGCCCTGTGTGCCATCATCCACCGCTTCCGGCCTGAGCTGATGTGAGTCTGGGGCCCGGCTGAGCCTGCCAAGCTCCTCACTGCCCACGGGGACCCTGGAGACGAGGGGAACCAGGACTGTTCTGCTAGAGGCAGAATCTTCAGAACTTGGTTCAAAATTTCTCTTTGCATATTTTTGATTTGAGTTTTTCCTTAAGCTTGTTTTGTTTCCCCTTTGCACTGATGAATCTGCCCACAACTCCTTTGATCTGTGTTCCTAATATGTGACTCAGGCTCAGTGGTTACCCGTCTCCCGCCCCTCCATTTCCACACGTGGGAAAGTTGAGCATTCCCACCATGGAGCTCTACCCTTAGGCAGGAATGATGGGCAAGACCTAATTCTGGGGGGAAATGTGACGGTTTACAGCCCAAATAATTAGAGCTGAGACCCGAATTGACTAGCTGTGTACCATTGGGCAAGGCACGTGCCTTCTCTGAGTTTGTTTCTTCATTTATAAGTTGGGAAATATGTCAGGTTCATTAGGGAGATTGAATTATGTGAGCACCTCGTGATGTTGAAAGCACAATGCATCGATTGAGGTTGTGTTTAAACCACTGTGTGCGGTGTAACCTCACACTCACAAGCAAAGGCATCCAAAGGGCTGAAAGGAAACCTGCCAAGGCGTTATCAATCGGTACCTTTAGGACGTGAGGTTGCCTTGAGAAGGGGGTGGCTCTCACTTAGCACTTTACAGGTTATAAATCACTTGATTCTTTTTTGACAAGAAGCCCATGTTAGTTTTGTAACAAAAAGAAAACAAACGTAAGGGAACTATCTAAAGGCTAAGTAGCTCATGCATTTCCCAAAGTGGCGTACACCATCTTCTGACAGCCCTGACGTTCTTGTGGCCCAGATCTGGACAGTGTTAGCTTCTTGTGACTGAGGCTCCTGGGGAGCGGGGTCGGGGTGTGATTCGGGACCCGGGGCTGGGGTCACCGCTCCTTCACTCCCCCCACCTCTGCCTCCTCTCCCTGAGTTTCACCTCGTTTTGATTCTCCAGCAACTTTGACTCTCTGAACGAAGATGACGCCGTGGAGAACAACCAGCTGGCGTTTGACGTGGCTGAGCGAGAGTTTGGCATCCCCCCAGTGACCACGGGCAAAGAGATGGCGTCAGCGCAAGAGCCCGACAAGCTCAGCATGGTCATGTACCTGTCCAAGTTCTACGAGCTCTTCCGGGGCACCCCGCTGAGGCCTGTGGGTAAGCACCTGCTTTGGACCACGCTTCGCTCTGCCCTTGAGCCAGCTCTGCCTTGGGCCATCTCCGGCTGCTCTTCACCCTGGTGTCTTCTGTTCTGGGCTGACCCATGCCTTCCCTTAAGGCCAAACAGGGATGGGTCCCACAGACCCATGTGTGTAAGTGGGTCTGTGTGTAGGTGATGCATGACGCCAGGGTTCTGGTCTGCCCCCGGCGTTGGCGGTCTCTGGTGGGGCTGCACAGCCCCCTGCCCAGGCCATTCACATCTTTAGTTGGGGGAAGAAAATTATTTTGGAGGGACTTTATAGCAGTGACACCCCTGAACCCTTGGGTAGCTGTGGCAGGACCCAAATCTCAGCCATACTTTTACTTCCTAACAGACTCTTGGGGCAAAAACTACGGAGAAAATGATGACTTGGGCGTGGCCAAATCATCCCTTCCTCACAACTATCTCAACCTCACGTTTCCCAGGAAGAGGACTCCACGAGTAAGTCAAGGCTTGGCTTTCCTTTAACTGCTTTTTGCGCATGGATGGGGCTGGGGGGTTGGAGAACGTCCTGCTCTTGGTCTGTGTCTGCTTAGTAACTGAGTGTTTTGGAAGTTCCCCCGGCACTTCGCTGACTTAGAAGCAGTTACAGTAGTGGTTCTCAACCTGTGGGTCGCGACCCCTTTGGCGGTCGAACGACCCTTTCATAGGGGTCGCCTAAGACCATCCTGCATAGCAGATATTTACATTACGATTCATAAAAGTAGCAACATTACAGTTATGAAGTAGCAACAGAAATAATTTTATGGTTGGGTCACAACATGAGGAACTGTATTTAAAGGGCCAGCAGGTTGAGAACCACTGGGTTACAGGAAGTTCCGGGTGGATCAGCGTGGCCTCCTCGGTGGGGAGGAGAGGCAGCTTCTCGCTTTGTTGAGCAGTTTATTTCGATCAGGAGCACAGGGGCCATTGAGAGGCAGGGCGGTGATGCTACAGTTACACATCCTGTTCTATTCTTTTTTTTTTTTATTCATTCAACGAATGTCCGTTGGGCCCTACAGTATGCCCACATTAGGGCTGAACTTTTTGTTAGTTTTTGACAAGGGGAGGACATGGACAAAAATGACTACGATAGGCTCCTTGCCTTTGAAGAGCTCAGCGCCCAACAAAGAGGTTCCCGAGCTTCCCTGACCTACGGCACCCTGCCTGTCTCAGTACTTTTTTCACGGTGCCCCTCGATCTAAAGAAGTTCCATTTATTCAGTAGTTAAGTTCAAATATCTTATAAGGGCGTTTTGCAAGGTCTACGGCAGACTTCACCATGCTTCCCTAGGAAATCTAAATACCCCGCGGCTCTTCTACGAGCTGACTGAGGTGCCACAGGGTGCCTTGGTACCCGGTTTGGGAATGATGGGCCTAATGAGAAATAATTGTATCTGAGTGATGGCATCTCTGGGAAAGGGATAATACACGTCGTCTGGCTTATTGTGCTCATTGTACAGATTTTAAAAAGGGGGCCCAGAGGTGTTAGGTGGCAAGTCCTGGCCCAGGGCTCGCCCTGGCTCTGAGCGCACGGGGAGCCTCCCTCGCTTGGCAGAGAGGGTGCAGGCCTCTGCCTGTCTCAGCCTCTCGCAGTTGCTGACAGTCATGCCATGTCCTGCCTCCCCTCCACCCAGGGTGTGGCCTCCCTCCTTTCTCTCAGCTGCTGGAACAGCGGTCACTTTTTCCACTGAGACCCGCGCTCCCTGGAATGTCGCAAGCAGTTGTTGGGCTAGCTGCATAGGGTACTCGGCGCTCCCCCACGCCCTGTCTGCTGGGAGGGGTGGGTGAGCCAAGTGAGGGCTGGGGAGGAAGGTGCGCAGGTCTGCCAGGGTTTTCAGCAGAGCTCTGTCTGCTCTGCACCCCAGGGCGCCCCATTCAGAAGCTCAGTGTGAGGGCTGCATCGCCACCACATGTCCCGTGAGTGAAAGCTGTCCCCTGGATACCAGCCATAGGCGTGCTCCCGCCAGGCCAGTCATGTGTCCTCTGAAGCCCAAGGACCCCACTCTGGGCTGCCCCATCCAGGCAGCCAACGCAGCCTTTCCACAAGCCCTCGGGGCCAAGCGTTCACCACCTTTCTCCGTTCACCGGATTCTCCCACCACCTAGCCCACAACTGAAAGAGCAGAAGGGGCTGGATTGGAGTTTAAACCTTCACTCACCACTCCTCTGTTTACAGAGTGACTGAATGGAAAGGGCCTGGCCAGGAGGTGGGAATGGTCAAAAGTCAGCAGTCAGCAAGGCCAGCCAGGCCCCTGACGGCTGCTGGGCCCTCGCTCCATGTTCTGCTGGCTCTGCTAGGAAATGCAGGGGAGCAGGTGTGAACCATGGCTGGGCTCCTCCAGCATGTGCCGTGGGCTGCCCAGGGGAGGGCAAGTTAGTAAGGCCCCTCCCCACCCCTCACCAGCTGCCAGAGGAGCACTGAGCTATGGGAACGCAGCAGCTCACGCGCATTCACAACGTGGCATCGTAATCTGAAGAGAGTTCACTGTTTCTCTGTTGAGCCAGTCTTAAAAGCCTTTCTCCCTCCGGTTTTCACTGTTGGTGTTACATTTTTTTTCTCATCCCCAAATCTGCTAATGTCACAATCCCAGCAAGACGGACCAACGTTAGGCAAAATAAGACTTTTCCTCCCCGAGGACCTTGTAACTTTCCATCTACCCGCCACGAGGTGGTCCCTCGGTGAGTGGGAGCTATGGGGCTGCTCGATGAGCTCTGAGGACCGGCGGGTCCAGGCCTGTGGGAAGAAGAGCCTGAGATTCTCTTTTCCTTTTACTACCCCCGGGGTCTGCTTCTGCAGATCTGCCTCTCATCCCGTAAGCATCGAAAGCCTCAGGGCAAGCGACAGTTCCGGGGGACTCCAGGGCTCTTGTCACCACACACCGCAGGTGACACCTGAACATATGTGGTCTCAGTCCTCGCTCTTCTAGGCCTGCCACATGTGGGTAATGCCTGCACTGACGGCCACTTCAGCCATTACATGCGTCACATGTGACATATGCACGCAGGGGGCCTGATCTTTTCCCCATTCTGAGCCCACACTTTGGAGGACAGCACAGCACAGCGGCTGTCACTTGTTCATGAAAAGCCCATCCCAGAAGCCGGGTTAGTGGCCCCGGGATGCAGATCCTGCTCAGCTGGCTGATTCGGACCCAGGTCCTCCTCCAGCACTGGTCCCCGGTAGAGTGGCGTGCACATGACCTGCGGGGGGCCTGAGTCAGCCTCCCAGTGCTCCTCTCCATGAATCTTCTGCACAACTACTCTGCAAAGAGCCAGGGGTTGCTAGGGAAGAAAGTGCTTCCTGTCCTGGCCGGTTTACTCAGTGGTTAGAGCGTTGGCCCGAAGACTAAAGAGCCGCAGGTTCGATTCCAGTCAAGGGCACGTACCTCAGTTGCAGGCTCAATCCCTGGCCCTGGTTGGGGTAAATGTGGGAGGCAACCAATTGATGTGTCTGTCTCACATCAACGTTTCTCTCTGTCTCCCCCCACCCCCCTTTCTTCCACTCTCTCTAAAGAATCAATGGAAAAAATATCCTCTGGTGAGGATTAACAAATATATTTTTTTAAATGTGCTTCCTCCTTCCATCTATTCAACACATCTTTACTGATGCCTAGTTTATGTTGAGTTCTCCCCTTGGAGCTGGGGTAGAGCAGTGAACAGCACAAGCAGGACCCTGACCAGGGGAGCTTGCCTTCTAGAGGGGCTTCTGCAGTTCCTCTAACTCTCCTTCCCCAACTCCTCTCCCAGAACCTCCCGCCCAGCAGCCAAAGCTCCTGGCGAGCAGCCTAGTAGTTCTCAGTTGAGAGATTGAAGAAGGTTTGGGAGAGTCCAGAGGACCAGGTCCCGATGCTCCCCCCCCCCCCCCCCCCCCCCCCCCCCGCTCTCCTCCTCCTCCTGCCCTCTGTGCACCCACAGCCGGAGGTTCTGAGCTGGTTGCAGCATGGCAGTGCACGTTGAGGCCAGGCAGACACGGTTTTAGGTGTGCTGGGGATTCACGTGCTTAAAACTCTCAGGAAGTTCCTGGGCTTGTCTGCAAGAAGATCGTAATAACGAGCATTGTATTGCTGTGAAGACACTGTCAACAAATGCGCGCTGCAGGTCTGACACAGTCTTTGGCACATGGAAGGGGCTCCGTAAGTGACAGGCCATGCCCTTTGCAAGTACTGATTAAGTAAAGATGCTCGTCTTCTGAACAGATGAGTGATGCTAGTTGGATTGAACCGTGCGTTCAGTACTGCAACCATGGGCGATGTAGCACTTAGAGCATCGGGAACAGTTTCCTGTGTATCGCATTCGCCCCTCGCGTCGCCTTCTAAGGGAGCGGGGAATGTGTCCTCATCCCAGCGAGATGCGGAAACTTGGATGTAGGGAGGTTAAATTGCAAAGCCATGTAGGTGGTGGATGTCAAAGTCAGAACTAGAATTCTAATGTCTGCTAACTAGCATTAACCTCAGTGACAGCGTCTAACACACAGCACTTCATGTTATAAGAAATGTTTTACATAAATGACTTTATTGATCCTTACACCAGTTATGACAGTGTAATATCCTATAGTGAGGAAACTGAAGTCAGAGAGGTTAGGTGATTCCTCTAAGGTCACACAGCCAGGAAGTAATTCATGTCAGAACTCGAACCCATGTTTCCTTTCTACGCTGCCGTTGAAGAAGAACAGACTCTCTTGGCAGTGTCACAGGCCATCTTTCTAAATCACATGGCAACCACCCTTCTCAACCAGGTCATTTGCTTGCAATGGCCAGTCTCTCCCTGTGGCCCAGATCTGAATTTCTCCACAATTAGGTTATACTGGCTAACTAAATACACAGCTTGTTTACTTTGGGCTAAATTCACATTAAGTCAGGCAATATGGGAACATGGTGATTTTGTGCTGATCAAATAAATGATCAGATTGGGAGATATATGCATAATTTTTTTTTTTTAGTGGAGATACCAATTAGTTTAATAAATGATTTTTGGTGTGCAGAATCTTACAAGTCACTAGGACATCATGACTTAAAAAAAAAAGTTCAGGTGAAAGGGATGGAAAATATTAACAGAAAAAGAAAGTGAGTTACTGGTTTATTCTCACGTTCTGTCTGACTGGCACAATAAGTATTTTCTTTCTCCTTGCAACCCAATTCTTTGTAGAATAAAATAGAGCCCAAGGAGATGGGGGTGCTGGGGCAACTTTAGTTCCCAAATAGAGATATACAGTTAAGAAAAAAAAATACATAAACATCTAGGTTTGCGTTTTCTCCACCGTTTAGTTTTAACCTAGCTCTTCACTGCTCACCTCTCCACACAGACCACGGTTTACTGTCCCGTGGCTCAGGCTGAAGCAGAGGAGCTGTGGCTGCTGCTGCACACACTTTCCCTAGAGGTGCTTTCTGTGGGCCTGCGGCTAAGCCCGGCCTTGGACCTAGACAGGCTCTGGTTGTTGGAACAGTCACACCCACGGCTGTTGAATGCAATGGAGAGAATAACATGTGTTGTTCTTTGAGGGAAAAGCCAAGTCTTCATTTAAGGTGGAAACAAACAAACAAACAAGAAACAATGGAAAACCCGAAGATGCTGCACCGCGTGTTCCTGCCGGGTGGGCAGGACATCTTGTGCTTCCACACGCTGCAGTCCGAGGCCAGCGAGGCCTTCACGGGCTGCGGAGCTCGGGCCAGACAGCCTGTGCCGCTAAGACCCAACGCTGTTGCAAATAGGTCATCTGTTTCTCTTGGTGTTTGCCCAAGCGTTGGGCCTGAAATAATTTCCAGTCACAGAATAATGAGTTACTGGGAGCTGAGGAGAATGTGGGAGGGACGGCCGGGCCCTTTGATCTGTCCGGGTTTTTGTTTTTTGTTTTTGTTTTTTTGATGCCTGGGTCAAATTTTCAAACAAATATTAATGACTAAGCTCTGGTTGATCTCGTCTTTGAAAATATTAAAGGTCCTGGTAAATACGGGGAGGGGTCAGGGGCCGGGGGAGTGTAAGAACTCGGGAAGCAGGTGCTTTCTGTTGGAAGCCAGTGAGCACACAGCAGACCGTGCTAGGGACTCCAGTGGTAGTATTAGTGCTGTTGCTATTATGTGGTATATTAGCATCTATTGTAATAACAACCGAAAGTATTAGTGTTGTTCCAGAACAACTGGGAGGTAAAAGAATCCTCTTGTGATTGGGCCAGTTTAGGGTGTGTAGGGCTGATGGGGTGGTACCCCTGGGTTGGAGGGGAGAGAGTGGCCAGCCGCCCTGGCTGCTGCATCCCAAGTGGAACCAAGGCCGGGATTTGATTGGGGCCTGCTGTGGAGGGCCCTCTGAGGCCGAGGAGGCTCCCTGTAGGAGGGAGACATAGTTGTGGGGTGATTCCATGGTCATCAGGGGGCTGGCCATTTGGAGAAGGTAGAGAGGTAGGTTTAACTTCATTGTCAAGAATGGACTCATCCTGCAGTGTTCAGGGGAAGAACTAAGTCAGCCCTCACACCCAGCCCAGCCCAGCTCATAGCAGCAGCACAACCTGTGCAGTTCCACCCATTCCTTTGAGGCTCAAGCCTGACAGCAGGAGCCCGTTGGTGGTCTTCGTGGAGGTGATGTGATGGGCTTGGTTAGTGCACGTTTCTCTGGGTGTCTCTGGGTGTAAATGTCCAGATTCAGGCAGCAGAAAGTAGGCTGTAAAAGGCTATTGGTAGGGCAGCCACGTAATTTATTGTCTAAACCAGGATGCTTTTGAGGGTGAAAGGAGGCACTATAATGATGCCGGGGACAAAAAGCGATGAATCACACAGTCCTGGGCACACTGGCTGTACACTCGCCACAGGGTTCAAAGTCTGGTGCTCCTTTGAAGTTAAACTATCTCGCACTGGTAGCTGGGGTGGTGTCCGAGTGGCCGTCACATCCCTGGGCAGCTGCTCTGAGCCCGAGAATCCTGCCCTTGAGGTGAGCCAGTGTCTCATAGGCAGCACCGGAGGTTTTCAGCAGGCCTGGAGGCCACTGCCTGAGACCGAGGTCGCATTCACCACGGGGACAATCCCTGCCCTGTCAGGGAGTCTGTGCTTTGGGATGTTTCAGCTGGATTTGGGGATGTGATTCCCACCCCTTCTGTCAGAAACTGGCTCCCCAGATGGAGGAAGACCCTATCCCCTGCGCCCAAATGGAGCTCTGGGTGCTGGGTGGGGTATGTCCATCTGTCTCCTGGGCAGGCAGGGCAGTGGGCCCAGTGCTGGCTCAGGGCTGTCAGTGGGTCCGAGGTCCTTGATGGTCCTGAGCTCACGGTGGTCTCTTGGCCTTTGCAGGTGGACAACCAAACGGAAGAGAATAACGACATGAACAAACGGAGGCGGAGAGGCTTCAACAGCCTGCACGAGGTTTGTGTGCACAGCGTTGGTTTTAACAGAGGCCCGTGGCCTGACAGCCCATGGCCACAGGCCCAGCCGCCCTGGCCCTCCTTGCTCTTCTCTCTCTGGAGCTGCTCAGTCCCAGGCTTGACTTGGTGGAATAACAGTCAGGTTCTGGTCCTCACTCCACTGCTTACTAGCAATGTGACCTTGAGAAACAGAGCCAGCCAGGGTGGGGCTCACGTCTGTAAAATACAAATGATACATTTGAAATGTATGAAACCTGGCAGGATTTTTAAAGATTATATAAGATGTTATGCAACATGCGGGGCCTGATCTATGGCACCTATGCTGATCAATATGTAAGCACTATCAAAAGTGAGCAGTGAAGAGGCACCAACTGTCCGGCTTTTCTCCCCGTCATTGTTTCTACCTTTTGTGTTTTGTGCTTTCTGCACTTGAGTCTTGAAGGCCAATGTCCCAGTACCCGCAAGTGCCACCTTCTGGTGACAGGAGAACATTACAGGCTACTTTGTCAAAACCAGGCACCAGTCCCTCTCCTGCTACTGAAAAATTGATCAGCAGAAAAAGAGGGTATCAGTTCCGCTTCCCCAGGCAGCTCTTTAAAGAGACCTGAGATATGCCTTCACTTGAAAAGGCCGTCCCAGTCCCCGCAAAGCAAGCCCCGGTGCTGTCAGTGAACTGCGGGAGGCCAGCGCTAGCTAGCCTGACGGCTGATGCCATGATTATGACACAGAGGCACGTGGGGTCGTTTGTATAACACATTATACCCGGGTTATAGGGCTTAGAAAAGACTTCCATCTGAAATGTGTATTTTTATGACATTGTGTTCATGTCTGTGACTTGCTTCATGGGGAAGCCTTGACTGGGATCAGCACCCTGGTCCTCACAGCTGAACTTTGTAACAAATAGAGCCACCAGGCCCGCCATGGGGAAGAGGGCGCTGCCTATGGCTCAGCCCGTTTTCTGGGACGCTCGAAGGGAAGCGCTGATAAGGCCTGCAGTTCCATTCATGTCTTAAAATGTGCTCAAACGCGTATTATCCACTGAGTTCGAAATCACCCTTGTCCGAACCCTTATAGGATTTCTTTGGGGGAATCCCTTCAAGAATGGCTTCCTCGTCTCTTGGCGCTGCTGTGAGCCAGAGCCAGTGATCCAGGAGATGATGGAGAGGAGGAAGCAGAGGCTGAGTGACTGGAGGAGAGATGTCCGTTTCCCGGTCACGGTGCTGGCTCTCGCCTGTGTGCCTGGGTTTGCTCTGGCCTCCACCTAAGGAGCGTCCCTTGCATGCACTCTGTCTCGGGTGGGAGTCTGCTCCTGCCTCTCACGCGGGCCTTATTTGAGGGGCCGTTTGTGCTCTCTCTGTTGGCGGCAGCACAGGAGGGGAGAGTGGAAAGAAATCGGTTGCACCTGTCCCTTCTGAGATGGTTCTGGGCTGTTTTCTGAGCCAACTTTTTTTGCTTCCAAGTCAAATTTACCCAAACCATAATTCTTTCTCAGTTCTCACTAAGTGTGGGCCCAGAACCGGCAGCGTCAGCATCACCTGGCAGCTGGTTACAAATGCAGTGTCTCAGGGCCCACCCCGGACCAACTGAGCCCAAACCTGCTTTTGAAGGAGCCCCTGGTGATTCACGTCTGGGAAGTGCTGTCGGCAGGACCCACTGTCCCGGTGACGTTGGCCTTGTACAAACAGTGACCTCTCCGGTGAACTCGCCCGCTCTGCACTCCAGGCTGGGTGGCTGTGCAGCCACACTTCCCACTTTGAAGTGGAGAGTGACTCCGGTTGGTGTTTGTCCAGCACTTCAGGGTGGCTACACAGACAAGGTTTCCCACGGGGCTGCGGTTCTTAGGGGTCTGTTAGAAAAACAACAGACTGTGGCTTGCTGCTTCCCTGGAATCTCTTTATTGTCCTGAGAATGTCTGCCCCAGAGATTTGTTGTCTCCTGGGAAAGCAGACTGCCCACTGGACACACCAGTGCCATTTTCACCCCAAGGCCTGTGGGAGCAGAGCCTATGGGAAGGGGAGACGGACATTCCGTGAACACTGGTAATTTTCCAAGTTTCATTTGTAGCAGATGAGCTAAAGAAGCCTTACATGGAACTCCATTTTAAAACTATGTGTATTTTTATTGATTTCAGAGAGGAAGGGAGAGGGAGAGAAAGAGAAACATCAATGATGAGAGAGGATCACTGATCGGCTGCCTCCTGCAAGCCCTCCACTGGCTACCGAGCCTGAAACCCGGGCATGTGCCCTGACCGGGAATCGAACCATGACCTCCTGGTTCATAGGTTGATGCTCAACCACTGAGCCACGCCTGTTGGGCTGGAACTCCATTTCATAAAATAGCATAATCAAAAGGTCACAGCCCACGTCTCACCCGTCATTAGTCACGCTGGTATCATGTACCCTGGTATAAAGCACCGAGAGGAGCCCTTCACCTCCGGCATCCTTCTCCAAAATCCATAACCCGGCCTAACCATTAGGAAGATCAGAGCATCCGGACTAAGGGACTTTGCACACAGAGCTGACCCATCCCCTTTGAAACTGCCAAAGTCGTAAAAGACAAAGACAGATGGAGAAACTGTACAGAGGGGAGAGAACTAAGGCGAAATCATGACTTAATTCAATGTAGGATCCTGGATTGTATCCTGGAACCAAACAAGGAAGCGTGTGGAAATACTGGCGTAGTCCAAATCGAGTCTGTAGTTCACGGCAGCACGCCGGGGTGGATTCCTTCGTTACGGTGACAGTATCAGGATTGCTCCCGATGTTACCATTACGAGCAGCTGGGTGAAGGCTATGCAGGAACCGTCTGTGCTATCTTTGTCGTTTTTCCATAAATCCAAAATTATTTCACAATTAAACGTTGTTTTTAAATGGTAGCACCAAGAGAGCGGGGCAGGTTGGAGTTGGGAATGGGTGCTGAGGAGGAAGGAGGAAGATGCCCAAAGCCTGTGCCTGATGCACACCCTTCTTGCTCCCTTCACACACACACACCCGCTGTTCACCTCTTGGGAGCCACAGGATGTATTTTGAAAATGATTTTGCTCGCCGCTTCATTATTATATTTGATTTGTGTGTGTGTGTGACAACCATGTGAAATGGGTAATGCTCCCATTTTACAGATGCAGAAACTTTAGGGAAGTTCATTGCCAAGGTCACTGGGCTGGGAAGTGAAAGAGTCAGGATGCAAACCCTAACTCTCGGGCTCCCAAGCCTGGCTGTGCTGTCTTTGGGCATCGCCTGCTGCTTGTGCCTCACTTCCTGAGCCCACGGAGGGTCTCCTTCTTCCGGAAATTAGTCCCCTGTCCTCAGCCCCCAGGCCCCTTCCCTGATATCTGGGTTCTGGGACCCCACCACCAATGCACTGATTTGGACTTTGCAGCGGCCAGCCTTTTCCAGCCGGAGTTTGGGCTCCAGTCAAGAGGGCAGCGTCAGTAAAGAAGGTGGAAATCAGAACAAAGTCAAGTCCATGGCAAGTCAGCTGCTGGCCAAGTTCGAGGAGAGCTCTCGGAACCCTTCGCTCCTGAAGCAGGTGAGTCCCATCACATGCTCACTGGACCGGCCTTCTCGGTGACCAGAACTGAGAAGCTGGCAGAAATGTTCTGGCTAGGGATGAGTTTCAGGTATGCCAGCCATGCCTGGCTCAAGTGAGCCTTCTTCTAGACCAGGAGTCAGCAGAATTTTCTAAAAGGGCCAGGTAGCCAATACTTTAGGCTTCAGGAGCCATCTGATCTCTCTGCAGCTACTCAACTCTGCCATTGTTGCATGGAAGCAGCCGTAGACAATACCTCAACAAATGTGCATGCATGTGTTCCAATAAAACTTTATTTACAAAACAGGCTGCAGGCCCAATTTGGCCAGAGGCCCGCAGTTTGCCACGCCTGTTGTGAATGAGAGAAGAATCCTTTCCCTAGTTTGGTTTTACTTTGCAACCATGACTTGGTTTGCAGCCATTGATGAGATGTACAGTAGGAGGAAGCTTTAGAGCAGCAGTTCTCAACCTGTGGGTCGCAACCCCTTTGTGGGTCGAACGACCCTTTCACAGAGGTCGCCTAAGACCATCGGAAAACACATATATAATTACATATTGTTTTTGTGATGAATCACTATGCTTTAATTATGTTCAATTTGTAACAATGAAAATACATCCTGCATATAAGATATTTACGATTCATAACAGTAGCAAAATTACAGTTATGAAGTAGCAACGAAAATAATTTTATGGTTGGGGGTCACCACAACATGAAGAACTGTATTAAAGGGTCGCGGCATTAGGAAGGTCGAGAACCACTGCTTTAGAGTGTTGGCTGCCTGGGAGAGCACCAAGTCCTTGGTGAGAAGACCCACACAACCAAGGGGAAACTGAGTCACGGGTCTTAGCTCCCTGTGGGCCTGCAGCAATGGGGACCGACTTCCCAAGTGTTGTGGTGCCTCTCCCTACTCCCTCGGGTCAGGTTGGCAAGGCTGAGTGTCTGACCAGGGACTCTGGCTTGGGGTCTGCGCTGCATGGGTCAGTTCGCTCCCCCAAAGGCCTCTGGGAGGCCACTGCCACATTACCAAAGCTTGGGGGTTGGTCTTTCTTTGGAGAATACCTGTCCCATGACAGATGAGGCTCCTCTCAGGAGGAGGGCAGACTCTAGGTTAATTCAGCTTTTAGGTGATCATAGAGGTCCCCTGGCTTTGAGGTGGACCATGCTCCTCCAGACAAACAGACCTTCCCAGGAAGCCAGGCTTTCATAGAAGGGGGTCATGTCCTGAGACTTCCTACTCTATCGTTTTGTCTCAGTTGCCCCTCTGCAGGCTGGGTCCCTCGCAGCCCCCAGTGTTGCTGGAGCTTCTCCCATCAGCTCCCGTCCCCTGGTAGGCGGGAAGCTCTTCCATTTCCAGGAGACTCCGGGGCCGGCCACCCCAGCCTGGCATGGGCACTGGCAGGGCCTGTCCAGTGTCCGGGTCTGAGCCAACAGCAAGGCCTCCCTGAATTCACACCTTGTCCCTGAGGAGGGGACTCTGGGACGTGCTATCCACCTGCGCAGAGAGCCAGGGCTCTGGTTTCCTGCGGGGGCGGGGGGGGGGGGGGGGCTCGCCGGACCTCAGCCCAGGGCACGCTCGCTCTCTCTGTACCTGAAAACTCTCGCTCCCTTCCTCCCTTCCTCCCTTCCTGTCCTCTCAGTCTGACTCGGCCTTTTCTTTCGTGCTTCCTGCGGCTGCTATCTTGGACTCCCCGTCCTCCTCCCAGGAACGCCATGTCTCGGGGGTAGGTAAGCCTGTCCTTCGCTCGTCCTCTGACCCTCCTGCTCACTCTTGTTGTCTCCAGCCAGAAGAGCTCACGGCCAGCCCACCGCCTCCTCTGAAAAGGCAGGTAGGGCTCCTTCCAGTGGATGGGGTCTTGGTGAAGCCAGAGGGGCCCCTGATGCAGAGGGGTGGGCTCAGTCGGCCTCTGCGTGCCCAAGTAGGGCTGATCATAGGTTCTCTGGGAAGGCAGGCACAACATGCGGTCCTTCAGCCAGTCGGGGGTATCGGCTGACCAACCACGGTGCTTCTGGTGCTCTGATTGGGGACACAGACCGCACCACCTGGTCTTCTGTCTGTTTTGTCGGATGCCCCCAGAACACAGCGTTAGCTGCAGACCACGTACATAGGCTGACGTGTAAAGGGATGAGAAAGTGGCAGTGATGGTGGAATGGGCGTAGGTGGCCGCTTGGCTGCACGCCTTGAAGGGGGAAGGCTGGGGTGTGGCTCAGGCCTCCTGGCGCCCGAGGAGACAAGGCCCCTCGTGGTGTGTAGGCGCAGCGGCAGCCCGGCACTGTGGCTTTCCCCGGCCAGCATCTCTGGGTTTGGAATTTGCACAGACTCACTGTTTTGACCACAGCATTCAGAGATGGCTGGTCAGCATGAGACATGTGTGTTGCTTCTGGGCAGTGGAGGCTGAATGAGGTCAATGGGGGTATGAAGCAGAGATGTCGTCTTAGTGTATAAGAATTACCTAAAGAACCATTTTTTTCAATTAAAAAAATGGGTATTTAAAAAAATACCAATATCTGGTGCCCATCCCAAGACCAATTAAATTAGAACCTCCGGAAGTCAGGCCCAGCCTTGGGTAGTTTGTTAAAGGGCCCCGGTGGCTGTGGTGTGCGTCTAGGATTGAGAACATGGGTTGTACAGGTTTTGATTCAGTGGGTCTGGAAGGAGGCCCAATAATCATGTTAAGGAGGATGTCAGATTTATATAATGTTATTAACCAATGTTACCTCAATAAGTTAAGTTAAAAAGGAAATGTAAAAAAATAACAATAAAGAAAGAAAAGGAGAGATCAGGTGATTCTGATGCAGATGGTAGACCATCAGCACCTGAGGTGAGTTTGGAATCTTACTCAAGGTGACACCTGGTGCGCCCTGGGCCCCTGGTCCTCCTGGGGGTCCTCATGTTGGGGGTCCTCATGTTGGGGGCGATGCAAGGGCCCTAGTAGGGAAGGAAGCTTGATTTGTCTTCTCTCCAGCTCCCCTCTGTGGTTGTGACGGGGCATGTGCTCCGAGAGATAAACCAAGTGTCCGCCGTTGGAGAGTGCCTGAGCCGGCCCCGCAGAACCCGAGCCCAGTCTGACCTGCAGCTGGGGGGGCGCGAAGAAAACCCTGCCTGCCAGGGGGCGCTGGCCCTGTCGGGCGTGCTGCGGCGGCTGCAGCTAGTGGAGGAGAAGATTCTCCAGGTGAAAGCCTCGCCCTGGGCCCTGCCTCTTCCCAGGTCCGGGGTGCCCTCTGTTCCCCTTCTTCCTCCGCCTGCCCAGGGTGGGTTCCTTCTCTGCCTGTTCGTGCCCTGTCCCCCGTCCTGTGTGTGGGGAGTGAGACAGGCCTGCCTGACTGCCCCCCACACCCCACAATCCCAGGCTCTGTCACTCTCTCTTTTTCTTTCTCCTTTCTCGCCTTGGCTGCAGAAGAGGGCTCAGAACTTGGCCAACAGGGAATTTCACCAAAAGAACATTAAGGAGAAGGCGGCTCACCTGGCCTCCATGTTTGGCCATGGGGACTTCCCGCAGGTAAACGGGGTTCAGAGCCCCAGGAGCCCGTGAGGCGGCCGCGACTCAGCCTCTGGAGCTCCGTGTCCTCCTTCCCGCTGCTTTTATAGCAGGAGGCACGATTCATCTGTCACGCCACTAAGGAGTTCAAGGTGCTGTCTAAAACAGATGCAAATAAGAACACTCAAAATAGGTAGATAAGTCAGAACAAAGGGGAAACCAAGAGAGAAAAGTGAGCTCAGATCAAAGGCGAACGTTACTGAACAGAAACACGGCCTGTTAGACACAAAGAGGAAAAGCTGCTCAGTTGCAAGAATCACATGACAGCGCCTTTAAGGTGAAAGCAGCCCAGTCGCTCATGATGTTTGGGGGCCTGATGGAGAATCTCCCCGTGGCCTTGATCGGGGAAACACTGAGGAAGAGGTCAGCCCCATGCCGTAACCCAGCCGTGGGCAAACTACGGCCCGCGGGCCGGATCCGGCCCGTTTGAAATGAATAAAACTAAAAAAAAAAAAAAAAACCGTACCCTTTTATGTAATGATGTTTACTTTGAATTTGTATTAGTTCACACAAACACTCCATCCATGCTTTTGTTCCGGCCCTCCGGTCCAGTTTAAGAACCCATTGTGGCCCTCAAGTCAAAAAGTTTGCCCACCCCTGCCGTAACCTGTACTCTGCTCCCCCAAAAGGCGGCGCGGAGCCAAGGAGAATGGCTTTGCCTTAGAATACGAAGCACAGCCCCCGCGAGCCAGGAGCTTATTTAGAAACTTGCAGAAAAGAAGAGCGTGTGCAGGCAAGGAGATGAAAGAATTGATATGAGGTCCCACAGCGCCTGTATGTGCGAGGCGCTCTCTTACAGCAAACCTGATCTCTAGAACATTCCTGTCTGCTGCTCTCACTCAGTCTCCTCCAGACTGAGTCCTCTGCTATTCGGCAGAGTCACTGGCCTGGGAAGGAGGCTTTGCATTTATTTAGCTCAGTGGTTCTCAACCTTCTGGCCCTTTAAATGCAGTTCCTCATGTTGTGGCCCAACCATAAAATTATTTTCGTTGCTACTTCATAACTGTAATGTTGCTACTGTTATGAATCGTCATGCAAATATCTGATCTGCAGGATGGTCTTAGGCGACCCCTGTGAAAGGGTCGTTCGACCCCCAAAGGAGTCGCGACCCATAGGTTGAGAACCACTGATTTAGCTCATGTTTAGATGGCACAGGTGTCTGCAGCTGCAGAGGCCATCTGCCCCGAAGTAGCCCAGGATTCTCCTTTCCTAAGCTTGCACCTGCCACTTTATACCAAGTCCTCGGGACTTCGCTGGTGTCTGTGGCAGACACAGGCAGGAGCAGGATGGACCTACTCCAGCTGTTACAGTGTGACAAGGGAGTTGGAGCAGTTGGAGCAGAAATGTAGCCAGGAGCCAGACAGCCCTGCGGGGCTCCAAAGACAGAGGCCGCTGCTTGGTCCCGAGAGGCGGGCCTGCATGTCCCTTCCCCTCCTCGCATGCGTAGGCAGGGGCTGCACCCAGGCGAGCATACTGTGCCTTCTCCGAGGATAATCACTTTCCTCTGTTTCTGTTCTGTGCAGAATAAACTACTCTCTAAAGGCCTGTCTCCTACTCAGCCTCCGTCTTCTCCCTCCTGCCTTCCATCTCCTGATCCAGCTGCCGCTTCCTCTCCATCGGCTGTTGACTCTGTTTCTCCTGCCAGAAAGGTAGTTGTCCTGAACAATTAGCTCCCCTCACTCCCTGCATGTTCCAAGATGCCTGCTCTGCTCGGCCCGCACAGCCAGCTGAGCTCGGCCTGGCTGAGGTGGAAATCTGCAAGGTACTTTCCAACGGTCCCGGGTTTGGTTCTGGTTTTGTGTTGGACCCAGCAACAGAGCAGAAACAGGCAGCACTCAAAAGCTTGTCTAGCACTGCTTATTCGTCCAGCGAGCTTTAGCTGGATACACACCGTATGCCAGCCACTGTGTCAGGTGCTGAGGAAATGAATAGGAGGCTTCTCTTACTACAGTTTAGATGGCAAAACAGCACATCAGCCTAGAAATAAGTAACTCTTTGCCATATGAAATTGCTCCTATTTGGCTATTTTTGACCTAACAAAATGGCAGTTTTATGTGGTGAACCTAATATAATACTAATCATTAATTCTGTGAGAGGCAGAAAGGGCAAGTTTGCAGGAACTCAGAGGGGAGAGGCCTGGCAGGACTCGCAGGCAGGAGCTTGGGGCTGAGTGTTGAGGGCTATAAGGAGGATTTGCTGAGAGAAGCGAGGGGAGGGTGTTTTAGGAAGGGCCGGGCATGTGCCACGGCAGGCAGACAGGACTTCATGGATGGAGGGTCAGGATTCTGGTGAGACTTGGACGTGGGGATAAAAGTATTCTTAGGGGTGCGGAGAGTGAGTATGAAAGTGAGCCCATTCTTCTCGCGTTAAGGAATTGCATTGGGTCCTCTTCCAAAGAGCCACTGAAGGCTCTTCTCCATGTTCTAGAATCTAGAAGGTAGCAGTGCAGAGGTTGGCTTGGAGGGAGGGAGAAGGAGGTGGGGAGCTACCTCCATTTAAATTGATCATGAAATGCACCGTGAGCAACTGTTAAATGTGGGCTCTGGGCACTTTTCGTGTTTCCCTTTGTCCTCCTGATACCTAATACGCCGAGAACACGCCCAGGCTGGGAGGGAGAGGGCAGCCTCCGGAGAAGCGTGGCCGTGGAATGGATGAGCCTGGAAACAGACACGAGGCCACTCCTTTAGCCGTAGCGCGTGGCAGTGGCTTTGGAGTCTCTTCCCCACAGATTGTGCTCCTCTGAACACATCCAGTCTGTCTAGCGGCCGCCTGCACTGAGCTTGGCCGGCGGGGCTAACTGTCCCCATCAGAGTTACTACTCATTTGCCTCTAGTTGTTAGCTGATGCACAAACCATCCCCCTGCTGCTGCATTAGTGGGAAATTAGGAATTGCCTCATAGTGTAGATGGGGGCTAGGCCCCCTTTCCCTCCACCACTGTGGGAAGAAGGGTGTTGATACCGTCTCTAAGAAAGGAACGAGCAAGGAATCTTATCAGCCCCCCCCCCCCACCTCCCTGCCCCAAGGTCCCCATCATGGTGTGACACATCCCTGGAATGGAGAAACACACTTTCTGTCTTCAAGTCCACTGAAAATAGCCAAGGCTGCCCGGCCAGTGTGGCTCAGTGGTTGAGTGTCAACCTACGAACCAGAGGTCACAGTTCAATTCCCAGTCAGGGTCCATGCCGGGGTTGTGGGCTCGATCCCCAGTGTGGGGTGTGCAGGAGGCAGCCGATCAATGATTCTCTCTTATCATTGATGTTTCTGTCTCTCTCTCTCCCTCTCCTTTCCTCCCTGAAATCAATACAAATATATTTTAAAAAAAGAAGAAGAAAATAGCCAAGGCTGAGATGCCCACCTTTGTCCCAGGTCAGCCTTTGATCAGCTGCTTGACCTTAAGTCTCCTCACCTGTCTGGGCCTCCATTCTGTCATCAGCAAAAGCATGATTCCTGGCTCATGTGATGGTGAGCTGCATGGGTGGAGACTGGCATTTTTGTCACCAGCCTCACCAAAAGGCTTCAGAGCAGCCTTTTTCCCTTCCCTGGGCAGTGCTTCCTGCTGTGGAAAAAGGTCACCGTCACCCTTGACAGGAGGATAAAGGTGAGGGCCCTTGTGCATAGACAGGCAGTGGCTCATGCTCGGGGCTGGGCGGTCGGCCCACGCCTTGCTTGTCTCTGGCCCAGCCCCTCTCTGGCTGGTCCTGGTCAAGGCCCTCTGTTCCCCCTGCTTTTCTTTTGACTTCAGGATGGCCTGGCTTGCTCACTGCCCTGTCAGGGCTGAGGGCAGAGCCACCACACTTCCCAGCTTTCCCTGACGTGGTTTCCCGTAGGTATTAGTTCTCTAGGTGGCGGCAAAAGGCAGCTGCCTGGGTGCATGTGGGGCGTCTGGGTGCGACAGACGCTTCTTGTCAGCGGGATTGTCTCCTGTCTCAGCATCCTCACAGCATCACAGGAGGCCCCGGCCGCCGCTTCCCCAATGGCTCTTTAAACAGCGTCACACCGATGGCACTCAGCGAGTCAGTGAGGAAGCGTTCACTCATTAGACAAGTATTTGTTGAGTGACAGCCTGGTGTGAGCATCTCAGGCTCTTGGGATGCGCATCAGTGAGCAGGAGTTATGTCCCTGCCCTGATGGGACTTGCCGCCTAGTAGGGGGAATAACCAACAATAATATGATACAGAAGTAAGTTATGCCATATGTCAGAAGATAAGATGATACTTCCTATGGAAAATTAGCAGATAGCAGGGACTTGGCGTGTAAGGGGAGGGTAGCAATTTCAATGGGGTAACAGGAGGTTCTTCCTAAGAAGGTGGGAACCGAGCAGAAGCCACGGAACAGAAAACGGGGAGGAGACGAGTGCCTGGGGTCCTGGCCTCAGCCGGAGGTTCTCTCCTCTGCGCCATGCAGGCCCAGTGCGAATGGAGGGAGGGCTGCAAACGGGGTGGACTTTGGGATGGCCAACCCCCAGTCCCCTGGCTACCACCTCTAGAGCTTTCGTTCTTTGTTCCTTTGTTCCTTGTTTCTCCCTGGTTTTTCTTTTTTCTTACCCCATCTCCTAAGCCAGCCTTGGCCATCAAACGATAGTATAACTGGGCTATTTTAATAGCATTCATCTTATGGGCCTTTCACAGAAGTATGGCTGGGAATGATTGGGGAGCTCTCAGAAAGGGCCACCCTGGGACCCCGGGCAAGTCACTTGCCCTCTCTGTGCTTTAGTTTCTCCATTTGCAAAAAGCACCCAGGTTTGCACCTGACACCCACAGAGCCCTCCAACTCTCACCGTAAAGCCATTGTAGGCACTTAGGAGAGAATGTTGCCAGCTGTATGGCCAACTTCCCCCCTCAACTTCCCTCCCTCTCTTACCACGCCCCACCATTGACTTGGCAATGGGCTGTGCACATGCAGAATCCAGCAGAGTGAGGTCTCCTTGTAGAAGAAATGCCTGCCCCTTACAGTAAGTGACAATTCGGGGACAAACAACGTCATTCAGTTGGTGGGGCTCAGGGAACCTCCCTCCTGAGAGCCGGGGGCCTTGTATCTTTTTCCAACAGATTGCAGGCTTCTCTCGTGGCCCAGTGACCCAAGTCTGCCTCCATTCAGGGGAGCTGGGGTAAGGGAAGTGCACGTGGGAACGGACGCTAGTCCTTGGCCACTCCTGGCCGGCCGCCTGTCCCTGCTCCTACCCAAGGCCCCACACTGCAACTCTGTGGATCCGGGAATATCACCTCCTCATGGGAGCAGACTTAGCTGGACTTGCCATGAGGTGCACATGTTACTCACGGGGACAGAAACCTGGGCCACCGACTGCCTTCAGACTACACAAACCCACCCTCTCAGACTAATGTTCTGCCTTAAATTTCAGAGTAATACTGCTGGGTTTTTTTTTTTTTATTTGTTTAGTTTTGGCCTGAAGAGTTTCAGAGAATCTTGAGGGCTTCTCATTTAGGGCCCAGATTCTTGTCTTTCTAGACCAGTGGTTCTCAACCTTCTGGCCCTTTAAATACAGTTCCTCATGTTGTGACCCAACCATAAAATTATTTTTGTTGCTACTTCATAACTGTAATGTTGCTACTGTTATGAATCGTCATGTAAATATCTGATCTGCAGGATGGTCTTAGGTGACCCCTGTGAAAGGGTCGTTCAACCGCCCAAGGGGTCGCGACCCACAGGTTGAGAACCGCTGTTCTAAACCTAGACTATGGAATCACATCCAGTCTTATGCCCTCAGCACCACCAGACTCATCCATCCCATCAAACCAGCCCACCTGCAGCGGGTCAGCCCCCCTCATCCATTAGTTAACTTCTTCATTTCAGAAGGGCGGCCACCGCCCATCAGGTTCTGCCCCGGCTGCTAGCCATGTGCCCTCTGCTGAGCTATTGTTAGGAACAAGGTAGCGCCTGAGTGTTTGCTCAGCTGAGCAAGAGGGATGGCCTCTTGGGGCTGGAGACTGTGGTTAGTCCTCCTGGGTCTGAGAGCAGTGTGCATTGCAAAGGGAGCTTTCTCTCCCCTCCTGGGTGTTTGCTTTAAAACTGGATTTGCAGGGTTTACTCTAGAGCTTTGCATGTTCAAGGGAAACTGGGCAGTCGTGGGAAGCAACCTGCCTTGGTCTCATCTGACACAGGGTAGATCTCAAGGCTGCCTCCAACCTCTCTGTCCCAAGGACACACTGGGCAGCTTGTTGGATGTGTCCTACGTGTAACCCAGCCAGGGCGGTTTTACTGTGTGGCGTGCTGGTGGCAGGGAGGCAGGATGCTGTAGGGAGAAGGATATGGGCTTGGAGTCAGAGCACCGATTCCTGCGTGGCCTGGGACAAGCCAGCGGACCGCTCAGCGCCTCAGTTCCCTAACGTGTAGAGCAGAGATGACAGCGGCTACTCCTCAGGGTCACTGGAATAATACAGTGACCTTGCCTGCGGTAAAAATGCCTGAAGCAGTAAATGTGCTGTTTCCCGAGTGGAGGAGAATTCTAGAAGAAAGCTCACTTACCTAAAATGCATGCTGAGTCCTCTCTGAAGGCAAAGAAGTCACCTTCGGGTTTCCGTTTCCATCCTAGCCACTTGGGAGCAGTGCGGCCTTAGGGAGTTGGAACTCCCAGAGCCTCAGCTGCCCATGGCTGTAAGACCCACCTCGCAGGCCATGAGTGTTAAATGCATGTGATGAAGAGCATGGTGCCGGGCACCAGAGTCAAAGGCACAGATATGGGCTCCCACTAGAGGAGTAGGGGGGGGGGGGGGGCACTGTCATAGCCCCAAAGGCCTGCCTGTGTCTCAGCTCTGAGCATGTGATATCCAGACCCCTTCAGGCAAGGGGGTCTCACCTTGCCCTCCCTTCCCCTTCCCTTCCCCTGGCATGTGGCTGAGGACTCGGGTCCTCCAGCCTGTTCCCTGCTGCTTCCAGGCAGGAACTCCTCAGTGAGGAACGTCCTTGCCCAGCAGGCCCAGGAGAGGTCCTCGGGCCCTGCCTGCAGAAACCTCTCCTCTCGTGGGCCCCCCGCTCTGAGGCCCTGGGAGCGTCCCTCTCACCCAGCCTGACCCGTATGGGCTCTCTGAGGCTCACCGCAGGCAAGGTGGCCACAGGTGGCCCAGCTCTGCAGAGGAGCACAGCCTGGACACCTGGTATTCATGGCTGAGTTTCAGGTCCAAGGTGGGGGGGACATTACCATTGTTTGGAGACAAAAGGGCCCAGGAGCCTGCTTCCTCCTTCGTTCAGCGCTTCCGCTCCGTGCCAGGGGTGTAGAGGTGAATAAGATGGGGCCATGACGTCAGGGAATGCAAACCAGAGGGGAGATAGGCCTGCTGGGAGCAGGTGAGAAAGGCTCCAACAGCCAGCAGCGACCACCCTATTCCGAGCTGGGAGTGATGGGACTGCTTTAGGAATGTCTCCTTGTGGAGATCTATCCATCGTCTGCAGCCTCGGGCGATGGTGCCTGCGGCAGTAATTACATCATCGTTAGAATCTGGGCTGAGAAAAGCCAGCCGCTCATCCTTGGTGAGCCCCTTTGTTCTCACTCGTGCAGAGCCCTGTGCGGGCTGTCCAAGGAGGAGAAACATCCCAGAGCGCAGACATGTGAAGCTGCACCGATGGTGGAGCTTTGGACTCACTAACTTGGCAGATGCCAAGTGCTCTTGGGAGCCCAGTGCCACACGAGGCACAGCCGCTGTCACCGAGTGGGAAGTGGATGCAACTGGGAGGAAGGGGCCTCTGGTCAGGTCGGCCCTCATTCACCCTGACAGCCCCTGGCCAGGTGACTGGACGGTGCCCTGTGCTGGTAGAACCACCCAGCAGGCTCACACTGCACAGATGTGTTTGGGCGACACCCCCAGCAACCGCACAGCCCTCTGCGTGCTTCCTTAATTGCTCCCTAAGTCAGGATTACACGGAAGCTCAGCGATACAAAGTGCTTATTAGCTAAGTGGTTAATGAGGCCTCATTAGGGACGTGTAGCTAAAGCCCCAGAAAGTACAGCTTCGGTCTCTGCTAACTCAGGGGAGTCAGTGACTGCACATGGGTATCCTGGCATCACCATGGTGCTGTTCTGGAGAAGCACACGGTGCCAGTCCCCACGCTGGGCCAGTGGACATGGCCACGCCAGGGCAGTGTGGATGGACAGGGAGGTAAATCTGGCCTTTCCTCTTTATTTTGATACAAAACCAGAAAGTTCTTCATATTCTGCAGCCCCTAGCTGAGGGGCCCGAGTTGGGGACCTGTCAGGGGATGGAGCATCAGGCAAACAGTAGCATGTTGTCCTCAGCCAGTGCACCTGAGCGTTTCTTGAAAGCAGGAGCCAAGGGTCTTGGCATTCGTGACAATTGCAGAGCGTGCGCTAGAAAGCAAAATCCTGACTAATCTCTCCCAGGCTGGGCCAGCGGGGAATGGGCAGACCGGCCTGGCGGCTGCTGCTCCTGAGAGGGGCAGGCTTTGTAAAGTCGAGGGACCAGTCGCCCGCAGCCACATTCTCCACAATCCCTCACAACCACAAACATGGTCTGGGGCAATGGGTCCAATGTTGCTGTTAGGTTGGGGTTCCCTTGGTGAGAAGGAGGGTGAGTGTCACTCCTCCAGCTGGTTTGGCAGCCGCTTCTGCTCATTCCCTTGCAATGCCTGTGCTTTGGCTGGAGCCCGAGGAGTAGGTCTCAGGTTCTGAGCATGGGCATCGCTGCCAGGAGGTGGGGAGCCGGGGGAGCCTGCCGCCCTGTGCTTTGCTGTTGCCCAGAGCAGTCTGAATATAGATTGAGGGCATCCATCACCTACACACAGGTCCCTGCTATGTGCTCCCCCAATGGCCATTGGCCTGTGCCCGAAGGCCTTCAGCCTAAATCGCAGCTCTCTCTGGCCACATCTGCCAGAAAGCTGGATTCGGAGGATGGGGAGGGTCTGAGCCCCCTCCCTGCAGGGTCACGGGGTCAGGAATCTCAGACTGAGCACGTTGGCCGCCCTGCAGAGGAGACTGCGGCGTTCCTGGGCGGCCTTTCTGAGCCGGTGGGGAGAGGGGACCAGCTGCGTGTGCTGGGTGTGTGGATGAGTGTGCCCGGTCTGCTTGTGCTGCCAGCTCCCACCCTTCCTGGCTCCTCCACACACTGGGGTGGTCCAGGCACTCGCAGGCAGCCATGGGCCATCATGCCCACAGGAGCCCAGGCACTCACCACCCTTCAGGCAGTGATCCCTGGGGCCCACATGGAACGGCTGCCTCCCCTACTCTGGGCTGGTCTTGCCTGGCCCTGGCCCTGGGGCCTCTGGGCATGCTGCCTGGAGCCCACAGTGAAGCTCCTCATCCTGAGCCCTCCACCTGCCCCATGAGCCGGCTCCACTCCCAGGCCAGCCCCTGTTTTGACTGTCAGGGTGGACGGTGGTCCTGGCCTGGAGGGGCTCTGGTCAGGCACAGCCATCGCTCCCTGGGGACATGGAGCTGCAGGGCTGGCTGCCGCCAGCCTCCGGAGTGAGAGGAAGACGGGAGGGAGGAGTCAGGTTCATATTGGCCCAGCCCCTGCTAAGCACCAGGCACTTTGCCCCATGTCTCTCAGTTCTTACCACAGATCCATGAGGCAGGCACAATTCTCCCCGTTTTATTCAACTTGAAAGCTGAGCTCAGCAGTGGTGATGCAGGGCCTACCCTTCCTCCAGGTCTGTGGGGGCTCCATGCTCACTGAGCAACAGCGGACAACCCTCCAAGGGGGAGGGTTTCTGTAGGAGGGTAGCTGCAGTTCTGTGTGTCTGTCTGTGAGGTCTCAGTTCCTGAGCTCTTGGTCTCCCTTGCTCAGCTTCTGTGCCTCACAGGCTTTTGGAGGCTCCGGTGACACAGGTGCAAACATGCCTTTGGGTGGAAAGCAGGCCAAGCAGCCGAGTCGTCCCAGCCGCTGAGGAGACAGGCGCGGAGAGGAACCTGGGTGGGGGTGGGAGTCAGGCGACAGGAGCAGCGTCCTGGATCTTCCGTTTATTTGCTAAGTGACCTTGGATAGATCCCTCCTCTCTCTGGACTTGTTCACCCCATCTGTGCACTGAGTAGTAACTCCTGAAGGTCCTGCACCCCCAGTGGGTGTAGTTCTACGAGTCGCCAGGCTCCCCGGGGGTCACAGGGTTCCGTTTCTGTCCTTTGCTCCATCTGCAGGGTGCCTGCGGCCCGCCCCGGCCCGGCCTGCCTGTCGCAGGACACCGGGTGCTGTTTGCATGTGGCGCCCTTTCCCACTTCCAGCCTGTTCCTGGTTTCCTTCTCGGTGCTAACCGGCCTTGCCTTGTCTCTGTCTCCTCTACCTCTGCTCGCGGGTAGCTGACGGTAGGGAAAGTGTCCAGCGGAATAGGGGCTGCAGCCGAAGTCCTGGTCAATCTGTACATGAATGATCACAGACCTAAGGCCCAGGCCACCTCTCCAGACCTGGTAAGAACTCACACCCTCCCCAGCTTCCCCCACAGACTCCGGCCCTGGCCTCCCGGGGAGGGCACCCAGGACCCAGAGAGGAGGGCATGGCCCTCTCCAAGGTGCCCCTTCTTGTGGACAGAGGGGTCGGGAATGGCCGGATCAGAGCAGAGGTAGAGGGAGGCTGCATATCCTTGAAGACAAACCACCTTGGGGGTCGTTTCCCAAGGCCGAGCACCTTCCCTGCTGCCGGGGAGCTCAGCAGAAGGCCCGGCGAGGCCTCCACATGGTCGGACATCCCTTTCTGTCAATGTTTAGTGTCCAAGTAGCCCTTTTGCGTTAGGTTGAGAATTCAGTGGTGGAAAAACATCCCTTTTAATTCTCCCTTTCTCCAAAGGATGGCCACTCACCCATCACCAGAGATTTGAGTTGACAGTCCCTTTTGCTTCCTTTCGGCACATTCCCTAGAATCGCCCAGGGGAACCCCTGCGCTCCCCTCCCCCACCCCCTTGCATTTAGGAGTCCTGCTGGAGCCTGCTGGCTGTGGGGCACAGCCTCTCCCTTTTCTGCAGTTCTCTTGAACAGTTTGGGTTTTTTTTCTCGAACAGTTTTGATGCCACAACTTTCCCTGCCTGACTTAAGTCACTGCAGGGGACAAAAGATGTAGAAAACATTCCTTCAGGGACCGCACTCTATACCCGACAACGCTTAACCCTGGGGCAGGCTCCTGGAGAGGGTGTCACTGGGCAGGCATATCTGTGGAAGATGCCCACACCTAGACCAGGAGACATCACCCCCTCCCGAAACCCGGGCAGCCGGGCTGGGGGACAGGCCCCCCCACCCCCGGGCCTGCCTGTGGCTGGCCAGCCTGGTATACAATGAACAGCAGCCCCTGCAGTTTTGGGGGCTGTGTGGTGAGCGTTTCTTCCCACTCACTCTTTGCTGCAGCATCTGCAGTGACGTGAGCAGCAGACAGGAGCCACGACGTCCCCATGATCATGCTGGAGTTTCTAACAGCCGGGGCCTCGCATTCCACAGCTCCTAACACCCTGCTCTTCTCTCTGATGCCCTGTGCCCCCCAGGAAACAACACGAAAGGCCTTTCCCCTGAACCTGGGCGGCAGCGACACCTGTTACTTCTGCAAGAAGCGTGTGTACGTGATGGAGCGGCTGAGCGCCGAGGGCCACTTCTTCCACAGAGAGTGTTTCCGCTGCAGCGTCTGCGCCACCACCCTGCGCCTGGCCGCCTACGCCTTCGACGGCGACGAAGGTAACCGACCGCCTTCCCCCAGGGACAGCACCGCGGGCTCCTGTCCCTCCGGAGGCTCTGGGACACCCAGCAACTCCCAGGGGGCTCAGTGTCATCGGGAAAGCTGTTCAGGGAGCCTGGGGGTCCTCTGGACAGAGAGGCCACCGGCAGGGGGCAGGGGCTCCTGGGGGAGAGGCAGCACCCACACCTGGTGGGCACTGGCCGTGAGGGCACCTGCCGAGTGCCGCCAGCTCAGTGTACGTTTTCTCGTTCAGACTCACCACCTTCCATCTCCCCTGTGCGGGGGAGACAGGTGCTCAGTAGCACACCACCCATGTAAGGGTTTAAGAGATGACGGCACATGGGTGGGAGTAGTATTTGTAAAGTATGCATTAGGAAAATAATCACAATAGTAACATCCGTTCTGATGAGGAGCTGGTCAGAGGTCACGGAGGAAGGAATTGCACTCATTGGGACGAGGGGTCATTTTCTAATTTTCAGCCTGGGGTATTTGCACTGTCAGGTAGGATGAGAGGCAGCGTAGCACCATGCTGTGACTTGAGACCCTCAAACTCAAGCGCCAGGTTCAAATATAGACTGTGGCACGTACTAGCCCTGTAACCTTGGGCCCGTTCCCTGACCTCCTGGCCTCTCAGTTTCCTCATCTGTAAAATCAGGATAATAATAGTACCTAGCACATGAGGTTGTTGTAAGGGTTAGTGAATTAATCCTCGGGGAGCATTGAGAATAGTGCCTGCTATACTGTGAGTCCTACCAAAGTTTTCCTTGTCGTTATCATTATTCCCGTCACTGTTGTCGCTGATGTAACAGTGAGCAAAGACGGCTTTTCTGGAAAGCGCCCCAGGTCCTGGGCAGTGGCCGGGGGCCCAGTGTGTGTCTCACCCAGGCTTTTCCTCCTCATCTCCGCTGCCATCTGTTCCCAGCCTTTCCCACCCTGGGGTCCCAGAAAGGAAGAGGAGCTAGAAGGAGTGTTGCTGTCCATTTTGCTGCCTCACCACCGGTCCTGGAAAGAGACTTGGCCTTCGTTTGGTTTGGGGATTAGCTGAGGGGTTCAGCCTCATCTCTCTTCCTGGGCCTCGAATCAGTGCCATTTTAAGACCGGACACAGAAACCCCTTCCCGAGAGGGAGCTGCCCTGGGTTTGTTCCCATGACTGGCGTTGTCTGATCTGGACAGTGGCGTGCACTTGGCTCAGGTCCACTGTGGCTCTGGCTTACAGGGGGGAAAGCACACAAAAACCTGTGTGTGTGCGTTTCTTTCTACAGGCAAGTTTTTCTGCAAGCCTCATTTCATTCACTGTAAAGCCAATAGTCAGCAGCGGAAGAGACGGGCAGATCTGAAGCAACAAAGAGAGGTACGTTTTGCCCTGAAACAGGGAAGGGCTCTGGATAGGAGGGGGTTTCAGGGGTTCTGCCGCGTTAGGCCAACATCTCTGGCCCTAGAAGGACTGAGACTCGTAGATGAGGAAGAGGGCTCTGCGCCCTGCTGTGAAGGTCCCTTTGCCTCAGTCTGTTCAGAAGACCTCTGAGGTGTATCCCCCTGTCCTCCTACCCCCCCCCCCCCATGCCAACTCCCAGGTGCACGGCTGTGCTGGCCTCTCGGGAGAAGCCCAGAGAGCTTTCCCGTGTGCCAGGGATGGAGCTATCTGCTCAGCCATGCAAAACTTACCCGTTGTCTCCCCATGGTCGCGGGCCCTGTCTTCTCCCCCCTCCTCCCCCGACAGGACCACAGGGCGCGGTTTGTAGGGGTGCCTAGTAGGGGGCCAACCTTTGCTAGGTTTCCAAGTCCTTTCCCTTGGCCCTGGGATGTCTAGTGCCCCCTCTGGCAGCTCTTAGCAAATACCTCCATGGCTTGAGTCATACCACCGCCAGCCCAGAGCCACCATTGACAGCTGTTTTCTGATTACATGTTAATCTAGGCTCAATGTAGAAAACATGGACAAATAAATTAGATACATAACGAAGGAAGGTTAAAGCACCCATTGCCACTCTGTCCTGAGAAAACCCTGATTTTGTGACAAGCATTTCCTTCCAGACTTCTTCCTCTGTGAATGGATGGTAACTGGTCAGAATCCTACCTCTACAGTTTTATCTTTCTTTTCTCGCTAACACTGTATCAAGAACAGTTTCCCATGACATTACAACTCCTTTAAGAGCATAAAATTGGGTGCCTATAAAACATGGTCAATAATTTATTTAATGACTCCCATATTGTTGAATGTTCATGTTGTTTAATATCTTTACCTTATAAATATTTTTATAGTGAGCATCTTCATACATGCATACTTATCCATATTTCAAATTATTCACTTAGGGCAGGTCATTAGAAATGTGATTGGAGAAATGTGTGTTGTAAAGGATCGTGAGCCCCATGATCAATTGTCCCCCAGGAAAGATGTGCCCATGTTCAGCCCCCCTGGGCAGTGCATGGGCGATGAGATTTGAGGCTGGTTCTGCCAAGTTCTACTATAAGATATAGATATATTACACTGTCTAAGTCTATAAAACCGTTTGTCTCATAGAGAAGAGAGCACCGGAATCGGTTAGACTTGGTTGCTATAGTAAACTCAAATTTTTTAAAATATATTTTTATTGATTTCAGAGAGGAAGGGAGAGGGAGAGAGATAGATAAGAGATCATTGATCGGCTGCCTCCTGCACATCCCACACCAAAGATGGAGCCCACTACCCAGGCATGTGCCCTTGGCCGGAATCCAACCGTGACCTCCTAGTTCATAGGTCGAAGCTCAAGTTCTGTTTTCATTGGCTCTCTTGGTCTGCTATGACCTCCTGGTTCATAGGTCGAAGCTCAAGTTCTGTTTTTATTGGTCTCTTGGTCTGCTATGACCTCCTGGTTCATAAGTCGAAGCTCAAGTTCTGTTTTTATTGGTCTCTTGGTCTGCTATGACCTCCTGGTTCATAGGTCAAAGCGCAAGTTCTGTTTTTATTGGTCTCTTGGTCTGCTATGACCTCCTAGTTCATAGGTCGAAGCTCAAGTTCTGTTTTTATTGGCCTCTTGGTCTGCTTTGCCAGAGGGGTCCCCTGTGAGCATCATGAACTCTCTGCCTCCCTTTGATCTTTCTCAGGAGGAGGGACTGTGGCCGGAGCACGAAGCCCCTCGGCAAGAACCTCCCACGGAAAGCTCTTGTGCGGCTGCTGCCCTGGGCTCCCCAACAGGCAGCCCCCCAGGTATCACCACTTCCTCCTTTAGGAAGGCGCTAAGCTGGCCTCTCAGGCTGCCCTGGAGCCTGCTTAACTGGATTCGGGGACTCCTGCTCGCCCTCGGCCAGCATTTCAGGGACAATGCTTACAACTACTGCTTCACCTATGAGCTCCTGAGCCTCGGGCTGCCCCTCCTGTGGGTGTTCTCCGAGGTCCTGGCTTCCATGTACCGGGAGTCCGAGGAGTCCCTGGAGAGCATCCGCGACTGGGTGCTCGGGCACTTCCCCGGCAAGCTCTCCTGACGGGCACTGCCCCAAGGGCCTCCCCGTTTCCAGGGTAGATGGCCACGTGTTTGCAAAAGCCAAAGAGCTGGCCGCCTGCGCCGGCCTTGTCAGGGTGCTGGGGCCAGTGCGACATGAAGGATGTTTTTTATAGATCTGCATTTCTTTTATACCAAAGCAAGCTGTATTTCTAGGTTTACATTTCAATATTTACCTTTTAATAATCCAAGAACAAGCTTTTTTTTTTTTTTTTTACAATGTGTGTTGAGATTTCGAAACACGGGTTTGAAGTTTATAACTGGTATGACAAACCCCTTCCACACCGTCAGTTGTAGTCAGAGTCATTGCCTGCCACGTGAAAGATCTGGGCTTTTATGTCAACAAAAGTGAGTATGCCATCTCCTGACCAGGGCCTCTCGATTTGTGTACCTGGGTGCCACTTGTCAAGGGGGAGGAAGGGGGAGGGCAATTTTTTGCAACGTGGAAGCATACTCATTTTAGAAGAAAAGAGTAGGAGAACAGAGTAGAATTACGCGTACAAAGCGCATGGCAGTGTGTAGCTGGCTGTTAGATGTCCTCCCTCTGAGGCTGTGTTGCTCCCTTGTTTTGATGTAAAATGGAAGCTTAAAGTTTCCCCCACCTCCCATCCCAAACTACAGCCAAGTGAGAGAGAACCGTGGGGTTTAGCGCAGATTGCTACAAACAAGCATTTTCCCCTCCCACTGCCGAGCACTGCAGCGAAGCCCATTGGCACCTGACCCCGCAGAGCCCCAGGAGCCGACGCCGCTGGCTGCTGAAGGGGCTATGTCAGCAGGCGGCCTGGACCGGAAGCCCCCCGCCCCCGACCCCCGGGGCTCCCTATCAGGTCCCCAGCCCAGGCTGCCGTCTGAGCCAAGGCCTCTCAGGGTCCTTCGTGGTCAGGCTGAGGGAGAATCTGCCCTCTCCTGTCACGTCCTTTGGGACTGAGGGCATCTGTTAGCACCTCAGGGCAATATTTCTGGGCAGCGTGGCCTACCCAGTGAGCACTGCTCGCAGCCATGCTGGCAGCTTAACCACCTGAGCTGGCAGCCCGGCCATGTGCATATTTGGTCAAAGCAATCCGAAACCATTTATTCTTCACACTGTCCTAGGAAAGGAACGCATAAGACCTCCAGAGGAAAGGCCCCTGTGTCTTGACTGGCAGGGAAGGCTGGGAGTGGAAGCTGTTCATTGACTGATGCAAAGAAATATGTCCTATTAGGGGCAAAACCAAGCACTGGCCTACCTGCATTCTTCCCTCTGGGCATCTGGAGGAGGCCTAAGCTCCCCCCACCCCACTCTGCCTGGACATGCACAGCTGCTGGGTCTGGTGGAACAATGGAGAGGCTGACAGAAAAAGGCCTTGGCCCTGCTCAGTGTAGCTAGAGTTGCTGAGCCGGACACATCTCCACGCACTTGTCACCCTAGAGATCTCCTCTAGGCCACGTGGGTTTGGAGCCTGGTGAGGGTTTGGAGCCGGAGCTCCTGAGCACTTGGAGATGGCACATTTCTGCAGGGTGAGGAGGGGGAAGGCATTCCTACAAACACTTCCCTGAAGTCCTTGGGTTAAACAGGGGATGGCTGTGGCCACGCCCGTGGGGACCGACACCTTAGTCCTTGTTGGGCCTGTTCTCAGTACAATGACTTGCATTGTGTTTTCCCCAAATTGTGCTGGGATTGTACTGTTCAGCATGGTGGGAGGAGCCCTCGAGTCATAGTATGTTTGATTCCAGAAAGTAGGCTGTCCAGGCTCAGCTGTGTCACTGTCCCCGTCAGCACAGGGCAGGCTGAGGAGCTCTGTGCAGGCTCCAGGAGCCAGTTAGCATCTCTGAGAAGGTCACGAATGGCCCTAAAGGGACGGGTTTGAATTCCTCTGGTGAGACAGGGTGTGCCTGTCAGAAGCCTGAGATGTTTGTATGCTCTGCGACTTTGAACCTTCCTGGTGGGCAGCACCAAACACACAGTGGATCCCAGGCAGGTGCGGGGGCCGGGGGGGCGGGGGGGCTCTAAACCTCCACAATGGGTTCAAGAGCGACTTTGAGACACTGGAGTAAAACCAGGGCCCAGAGGACATCGGGGCCAGGGATGCAGATTCAAACCACACGTGGCAGCGAAGGGGTGGCTCACCACCAGGAAGGTTCCCCTGTCCGGAGCAAGCCGCAACGCGTGTGGGGACGTGTCCCCGTTTTAAATGATGGCCTTGTTTTCAATTCCCATGCCTCCTCTTGTTGTTGGTTGTTTTCCTCTTCCCCCCAAAACTAAATTCTCGTTTCTGTCTCTCTCTTTCCCACCTTGCACTGTGGCCGTCAGTTCCTTTCAGCCTTCCAGTGCTGCACCCACTTCTTGGCTGACCCACTTCTGCTCTGAGGTGACTGGTTTCCTTGCGGATTTTCCGAGAGTGGGACTGACTAACCCCTACGCCGCTTTCCTCACCCGTCCTCCCGCCGCGGTCCTGGTAGTGCTCACTGCACGTGTCTTGCGTACTAACGACGCCTCGGGTGGCATGGCGGGCCAATGGCGTGGGGTGGTGTTCAGCGCCAAAGCTGGTTCCCATTCCACTGACCGGGGAGCCGGCCGCCCGGCCCCGCCAGGTGCATGCCCGCCTGCCCGCCGTCCCTCTGTGGCTTGCGCGCATGCTTTGCCGGTTGCACTGACAAAGCCAGGCCGCTTACCTTCCTGGGAGGGTTAGCTCTGACTGGGAGACAGTGCTGTAGGGGGGCTCTGTCACCTGTGAAAAGAACACCTCTGTCTAGGAGCCTCTGAAAAAGCTTGTACAGAAACTGGTTCTAATATGAAGATCATGGATGCCATTGATCAAAACCAGAGGTGACTCTTTCTGGAGGGATTAGAGCAGTACTCCCAGCTTCCTCACCACCTCCATCCAGGCTCTGCACTGGGACCACACATCACAGTTTTCCTAGCACGCCCCTTCCTGGCCGTAGCCTACCCCACAGATGTTAAGTTTTGCCGTGGCTCTCCTTACCTCCCGTGGCTCACAAAGCCGCAGAGGAGGCGGAAGCTGCCCCGAGAGCCATCATGTCCCAGGCCAGGGATGGCCTTGAGAAAGGACTCAGTCCAGCCCAGGCCTGCAGCGGCCAGGTTAAGTGCCCTCCAGGCCTGCTCAAAGCTGCTCTCTCTGCTGACTCGTTACCTAGAGCAGCAGGACAAAGTGCCAGGAACCGTAGGCCAGGCCTCAGGTCTCAGGCTGCATGCGGCGTCTGTCCTGCACGCGGCCCAGACACGCTAACCCCGGGCCTGGCTGCCCTGCCTGCATGCTGCATTCCTCACTGCACCCGTGCAGATCCCAGCCAGTGCGAAGTCATTGCTCTCTCTTATCTTCTCTTGCAGAGTCTCCTTCCCTTTATAGAATGTCAACCAAAGACTGCCCTCCCCCCCCCTCGTCAGCTAGCCTCCCCCCTGCCCCCAGCGCATGTTTGTGACCCTCCGTGGTCATTTCCAGTGCCACACCGAACCCTGTATTTTGCACACAGTGAACAATGTTTAGCTTTATTTATGGTATATGATGCTGTAAATGAAAATAAATATGGTTCTTTATAAAGCTCCTTGTTTCCTCTCTTCTTTGCCATGGAAGCTGCTCAAACCTGGAACACAGGCATTAATTTAGGGGGCCGGTCTTCCCTAAACTGCTGGTGGGACTTGCTCGTGTGGTGACGTGGGACTCTCTGGGGCTGCGCTGGGCACTCTGAACGTAAATATTACCCGGGGGTAATATTTGGAAAAAGTCACCCATGCTCTTGGGCCCGGCTTTGGGATCTCCTTCTTGAAAACTCATGGCACTTTTCTGCTCTAGATGCCGGACGTAGCTGGTGAGGGTCCGTGTCACCTCAGCTGTTGGGAGCAGACTGGCTTAGCAGCTGCGGGCACCCACTTCCCCACACATCCGAGCCTCAGACCTGACGGAGCGCTTTACTCAGGTCCCGTGCACCCACGTAGGTTCCTATAGAACAGAGGCTGCTCTCGGCAGTTTTACGCTGAGTCAGCTCAGCGATGGGTGAAAGGTCAGAAGGAAGGAGCAGACGCTGGTTTAAGGATGGCGGTGAGCATGGCAGGTGTGCTCATCCAGGCGAAGGGCCACCTGTGATCCTAAGACACCTGTCCTGCCCCCGAGGCTCAGTGACTCAGTGACTCAGGCTGCAAGCTCCGCTCACAGGGCCACTCTGAGGACAGCACCACGACAGGCGCTGGTCCGACTCTAGGCTGTCCTTAAAGGAAGGGCTTCGAGTCCCACCGGCCCTCAGACGCCTGGTCCCCAGCCTCCTCAGGGTGGGAGGCCTGCCATTGCCAGGCTGCAGGGAGCTGAGCTTCTGACACTGGCGTGAAACTCATCTGTGAATCCACGGCCTGCGTACCTCCCAAGGGGCATTTCTGGGGCCCTGGGCGTCTAGCCCAGCGGCAGATGCCTGAAGCTGCCTTCAGAGCGGCCTGGGGTCGTGACCGAGGTGAGATCCTCTTACCCAGGTGAGATCCTCTGCCCTTCTCTGGAAAGAAAGATGTTAGGGACTGAAGTCAGGAGCTGGGTCGGGAAGTAACTCATTCCTTTAGTCATGTATCTGTTCGAGCGTTTGTCTCAGCATAGGCTAGGTCCTAGTGCCGTGGCAGTGAGCCACACAAAGCCCCTGCCTCTCCCTGCACTGTGTACTGGACTTGATTTGTTTGGTTCATTTGTACCTGCACGCGCATGTTTACTCCACTGACACCAAGCATCTT